ATTTAAACTGATATGAATTTGAATATTTGGGTTTAGGTTTAAAAAAAAATCCACCAAAGAAAATAAGTGATAAACAACAATACAGATAAAAAAATAAAATAAAAAGGTGTTCTCCATATTCACACCCAACAATTACTTATGTATTGTATATTGTTTTTTTGTGTTGGTATTTGTATTTGGTTTTTATATAAGCCCTTGGGCTTCCAACCACACCACAAAAAAACAATATACAATACTTAAGTAATTGTTGGGTGTGAATATGGAGAATACGTTTGGAAAAATCTATGTAGCAGGCTTCAATGAATGATACTTGTGCTTCACTCCCAACAATTGTTATGTGTCAGACACAGCTATGATTGTTCCTCAAGTAACAGTTAGTACTATGTGCAGTAGTGCTATTGTAGGTTATAGGCCCACAGCGTGTTACTTTTGCCCACTGTTGCCCCTGTTCTTAAAAAAAATAATTATAATAATTGCCGGAGTATTACCAAAGACAGAAGAGTACTTCTCCAATAGAAATCCCTGTTCACACTTGTAGGCGATGTCATGGCGATGTTGGCTATGCGCAGAAATACGTAATTGGGTCTAACAGTCATCTCGTGCCAAACTGCACATGTGCAGGCTGTCAAAATCAAAGGCACTCCTTCGATATAAAGTGTTTTTGGACTAAAATGAAAACGTGTCAGTTTGTCACTTTCACAAGGTTGGAGTAATACCATGTTCAAATACTTAAGACATTGGCTCAAATCTAGGTTGTACCTTTAGATTTAGGGGAAATTAACAAGGAAGAATTTTTCACTTCTCTCATTGACTTTTCAACCCACAAAGCCGGCCTGGTCTACTTAGTCTGTTTCGCAAGCGTTCCCGAAAGTCTCGCGATGTTGCATCTCTGGGTTTAGAAACTCTATGGTATTATGGTGGTAAGCTGCTTTGAGAAAGAGGCTTGCAAGTCTAATTGAATGGCCATCCATGCCGATAGTTCATAGATTGCGTAATCTAAAGTCTCTCGGCTTGAAAAACATTAACGATTTTGATTGTTTTCCAAAGCACATTCTGAAACATCACTTGTTTGTTGTGTGTAGTTAGTATCGTAAAATAGTTGGACTCCAAATAATCATGACATCCAAATAGGTGAGTGTGTAGCCAACCCCTTGAGAGTCATGAGTCCAGATGGCTAATTTCAGATGTTTTCTAATTAATCTATTTACCGATTTGATCTTTGCACCCTCAACAGGATTAGTTTAAGCTCATTGTACAAAAGAAAACTTAAATAATACAGGCTTGTGGCAAATGTTTTTCTTTCAATACACAGGAGTTTAGAAAATGTTCAGTCTCACTTAAGATTGCTCACCAAGCTCCTTGTTTTATATTCCGACAAGTTTGGACACAGTGATAGGCCCAGAGACATTGTATACACATCTTTTGGAACAGTGGTGATAGTGATGTTTCACCTATTTTACTTTCCGTGTTCTGACTTTGACGTTATCAATGTATGTTTCATTGGTTAGTTAGGCCTACTGAAAGAATTTAGCTTACTGTGTTTTGGTGCAATCTGGATTCTTATTTTGACAGGGAGTCAATGCTGAGACCAAGGTCTCTTTTCCAGATGAGCCCTGTATAGCACAGCAAATTACAATAAACACATTAAACTACACGTTCATATACAGTGCCTTCAAAAAGTATTCATACCCCTTCACGTATTCCACATTATGTTGTGTTACTGCCTGAATTCAAAATCCATCTACACACAATACCCCATAATGACAAATGAAATATCTCATTTACATACAGTGAGGGAAAAAAGTATTTGATCCCCTGCTGATTTTGTAAGTTTGCCCACTGACAAAGAAATGATCAGTCTATACTTTTAATGGTAGGTTTATTTGAACAGTGAGAGACAGAATAACAACAAAAAAATCAATTTAGAAAATGTTATAAATTGATTTGCAATTTAATTAGGGAAATAAGTATTTGACCCCCTCTCAATCAGAAATATTTCTGGCTCCCAGGTGTCTTTTATACAGGTAACGAGCTGAGATTAGGAGCACACTCTTAAAGGGAGTGCTCCTAATCTCAGTTTGTTACCTGTATAAAAGACACCTGTCCACAGAAGCAATCAATCAATCAGATTCCAAACTCTTCACCATGGCCAAGACCAAAGAGCTCTCCAAGGATGTTAGGGACAAGATTGTAGACCTACACAAGGCTGGAATGGGCTACAAGACCATCGCCAAGCAGCTTGGTGAGAAGGTGACAACAGTTGGTGCGATTATTCGCAAATAGAAGAAACACAAAAGAACTGTCAATCTCCCTCGGCCTGGGGCTCCATGCAAGATCTCACATCGTGGAGTTGCAATGATCATGAGAACGGTGAGGAATCAGCCCAGAACTACACGGGAGGATCTTGTCAAGGATCTCAAGGCAGCTGGGACCATAGTCACCAAGAAAACAATTGGTAACACACTACGCCGTGAAGGACTGAAATCCTGCAGTGCCCGCAAGGTCCCCCTGCTCAAGAAAGCACATATACAGGCCCGTCTGAAGTTTGCCAATGAACATCTCAATGATTCAGAGGAGAACTGGGTGAAAGTGTTGTGGTCAGATGAGACCAAAATCGAGCTCTTTGGCATCAACTCAACTCGTCGTGTTTGGAGGAGGAGGAATGCTGCCTATGACCCCAAGAACATCATCCCCACCGTCAAACATGGAGGTGGAAACATTATGCTTTGGGGGTGTTTTTCTGCTAAGGGGACAGGACAACTTCACCGCATCAAAGGGACGATGGACGGGGCCATGTACCATCAAATCTTCGGTGAGAACCTCCTTCCCTCAGCCAGGGCATTGACAATGGGTCGTGGATGGGTATTCCAGCATGACAATGACCCAAAACACACAGCCAAGGCAACAAAGGAGTGGCTCAAGAAGAAGCACATTAAGGTCCTGGAGTGGCCTAGCCAGTCTCCAGACCTTAATCCCATAGAAAATCTGTGGAGGGAGATGAAGGTTCGAGTTGCCAAACGTCAGCCTCGAAACCTTAATGACTTGGAGAAGATCTGCAAAGAGGAGTGGGACAAAATCCCTCCTGAGATGTGTGCAAACCTGGTGGCCAACTACAAGAAACGTCTGACCTCTGTGATTGCCAACAAGGGTTTTGCCACTAAGTCATGTTTTGCAGAGGGGTCAAATACTTATTCCCCTCATTAAAATGCAAATCAATTTATAACATTTTTGACATGCATTTTTCTGGATTTTTTTGTTCTTATTCTGTCTCTCACTGTTCAAATAAACCTACCATTACAATTATAGACTGATCATGTTTTTGTCAGTGGGCAAACATACAAAATCAGCAGGGGATCAAATACTTTTTTCCCTCACTGTACCAATAGGTGCCCTTCTTTGCGAGGCATTCAAAAACCTCCCTGGTCTGTGTGGTTGAATCTGTTTGAAATTCACTGCTCGACTGAGGGACATTACAGATAATTGTATGTTTGGGGTACAGTGGTGAGGTAGTCATTCAAAAATCATGTTAAACAATATTATTGCACACAGAGTGAGTCCATGTAACTTATTATGTGACTTGTTACGCACATTTTTACTCCTGAACTATTTAGGCTTGCCATAATAAAGGGGTTCAACAAGTATTGACTCAAGATATTTCAGCTTTTCATTTTGTATTAATTTGTAAAATTGTAAACAACAAAAAATAATAATTCCACTTTGACATTATGGGGTGTGTGTGTGGTCCAGTGACAAACAAATAAAAATGTAATACATTTTAAATTCAGGCTGTAACACAACAAAATATGGACAAAGTCAAGGGGTGTGAATACTTTCTGAAGGCACTGTACACATTAAAATACACATTAAATACAAAAGCAAAACACAATAATAAAAAGCAGACATTCTTCAGAGGCACAGAATAGCCTATTTCTTCATAGCCTCCACGTTCGCTCTTTCCTACACTAGAGTATGCTTTCTGCCTGTTAATTTGTGGGACATCTTTGCTCGGATGTTTCCTATTCGGAACTAAGATCCTTCGGGAGGCACGTATCCTGTTAGTAGGGAGTTTTTGAAACATTCTGGAGGTGGCCGGGATTTTAAAAAAGAACTGTCAAAAAGCCACTTAGTGATATGATATGAGATAAAACTTTGAGATGGCTGCATCAATGAATAACGATGAATAGGCTCGTCTTTATTTGGCACAAAATATTTTACAAATCTGTTAATTATTTCTGTTACACCTAATGCCAAGAGCATGCAAAGCTGTCAACAAGGCAAAGGGTGGCTATTTGAAGAATCTCAAATATAAAATATATTTTGATTTGTTTAACACTTTTTTGGTTACTACATGATTCCATATGTGTTATTTCATAGTTTTGATGTCTTCACTATTATTCTACAATGTAGAAAATAGTGAAAATAAAGAAACTCTTGAATGAGTAGGTGTGTCCAAACTTTTGACTGATAGTGTATGTAGGATAGAACCATTATGTTTGTTAAGGATAATAGTTAAATCATCTATGCAGGGATTGACGATGAAGTATCAAAGAATAGAAGGGCAGCGACAGTTTTGTGGGTGAACGGATGGAGCGCAAACAGTGAAATAACGTACAAGCGCTGTCTTAGTCCGAGTCAATTTGTGAACAGATACTTTGTCATTAGTTTCAACAGTCAAATCTCAACCTGTTATTCCTAAATGTCATTCAATTGAAACCAAATATGAGGAACAAATAATTTAAATGCAGGTATTGAAAGAAAACTCGGGACTGTGCTAAAGCCAACACAGTTCTGCTGCAGCATCAACCTTAATTAAATAAACGTCTCATTTTTTTTATACTAGTGCCTCAATTCATCTGATGAAAAAACAGCTTTAATTGCTAAGATTGGGAATCAATGTTCCCTGAATCCCAAGCAGCAGCCCTTTAAAGACTACCTCACTAATAAAACACGAGTGGAAGCAGTATTCTCCTCCTGATTTATGATAATCTGACTGTTTGTTTATGTCGGGCCGTAATAACCTAACAACCTGCTTTATTGGCCGTGGCCCCGGAGGCATCCTACAGCGTCATTATACCTGCCCTTTCCAGCAGCTCCAGAAGGTCAACAGTCTGTCTGGCTGGGCCCAACCATGAGTGAGGGGCTGAGGAGGGGAACCTGGGACTAACTGAGTAGAGGGACCCAATTAACGTCCAAAAGAGCCCCCTGCGACAGAGCTGAACCAAGGAGAATCACATACACAAGCACACTGTCTGGCTGCTGCTACTCATCATCTGGAGGAGGTGTTATGGTGTGGGGGTGCTTTGCTGGTGACACTGTCTGTGATGTATTTAGAATTCAAGGCACACTTAACCAGCATGGCTACCACAGCATTCTGCAGCGATACGCCATCCCATCTGGTTTGGGCTTAGTGGGACTATCATTTGTTTTTCAACAGGACTATTTTACCAAGAAGGAGAGTGATGGAGTGCTGCATCAGATGACCTGGCCTCCACAATCCCCCGACCTCAACCCAATTGAGATGGTTTGGGATGAGTTGGACAGCAGAGTGAAGGAAAAGCAGCCAACAAGTGCTCAGTATATGTGGGAACTCCTTCAAGACTGTTGGAAAAGCATTCCAGGTGAAGCTGGTTGTGAGAATGCCAAGAGTGTGCAAAGCTGTCATCAAGGCAAAGGGTGGCTATTTGAAGAATCTCAAATATAACATATATTTTGATTTGTTTAACACTGTTTTGGTTACTACATGATTCCATATGTGTTTTTTAATAGTTTTGGTGTCTTCACTATTATTCTACAATGTAAAAAATTGTAAAAATAAAGATAAACCCTTGAATGAGTAGGTGTGTCCAAACTTTTGACTGATAGTGTATATATTGCCTCCTAATATTGTAACAATCTGTGTGTCTCTTCATTGGCCTGGGCTATAGTTTGTTTGAATTCAAGGCCAGATTGATCTCAGTTTGTCAGTGTCAGTGTAGACACTCATTTCGGTAATTTGTGTGGTATTAAAAATGATTCAGCTAATGTCTTCTGTCATGTAAATGACGTAGAATTGCATGAAATGTGTTTTTAAAAGGCTGATTTCTTTCGGACCCTGCTAACAAATGTTCCCCCATGTGTGTAAATCCTAAAAACGCCTCTGCTCAACTGTAGCCTATGCCACATGGCAAACGTTATTATGGCTTTATTATAAAAGGCTTTTTCATCAACAGTAAATTTACCACGCATCAAATTGCATCTTAGTGCACAATTTGTTCACGGAAAATGATGGTGTGCCGGGAAGGGGTTGTTCGAGGGGGCAGGGGGTATGAGAGAAAGTGTCCCCGGCCCTGATTACACCTTGTATCCTTTAAGACCAATGGTCCAATGAGTTAATTGAAACACTGCTAATTTCATTACATAATGGCCTTGTGTGTGTGCTTGGCTCCCAACAGCCTGCAGTGGCATTGATAAGATCATTAGGTAAATGCTGAGCCACAGACCGCAATTTGAATAGCTGCCATCAGACGAGCATAAATCTCTCAATAAGTGAATTAAAAATAAGCAAAGTTGTCAGCACAGTGCATGAACAGACTGTGGCATGAGTTACAGAGCTAGCCTAATGCCTTGGAGTTTGGTCTACTAATCCTGAAGCTTGTTTGCCATTGACTAGAAATATGATTTTAAAAATGTATATCATTGATCCCATATATTATGGAAACCGACCCATTCCTATTCAAAGACCACTATAACAGTATTGCATGGGCACTAGTACAACTGTGTCTATTTGTTTGAATTAATTTAGACTTATTGTAAGCGACTTTAAACTCACATTTGTAAGATAGTCACCAAGAACAAAATCCATCCAGAGCTTCCCAAAGACTCCCATTGTAAAATGTTACCCACATGCTAAAAGTTTTCCCCTAAGGGATCTAGCTTCTCAGAGAGGAAGGTTTATGTTAGTCCTCTCAGCTCAGCTCTGCCAGTTATGCCAATTTCTCTGTATCGTGCTCAGCCTCTCACTCTGTCCCCACACTGATAAGCTGAGCTAGAAAATACGACAAAACACATTCCTTACCTGAGGATTTTTTCCAGACTCATCCCCTGAGGCAGGAAGTAGAGCCATGTTTAATTCATGCAGCCAATAAAGAGCCAGGGGAGCGATGAGTCAGCAAATATCTCAGTTTGCCGCCCAGCAGGTGCTTAATTGCCCTGCTTATCCTCCTAGACATTGATTGTAGCGTGCAGGAGTTAACCAACACCACTTACAGAACAACTGAAAAGATGAGCATGCACTGTAGGGGCAAACATTTATTCTACTGGCTCTGTCTATATTATCTGTGAGACTTAATTGGCTTTTGGGCTTTTTCGTTCATTAAGATACAGTTGAGTTGTGGTTTGAAGACGGAGCGTGTATTACGGATGCTATGATTTTTACGTACAACTCAAATATGGAACCAATTAAACTAAAAGGAACCCTAAGTTACTTGGTTGCACAAATATCTTTATCTGTATCCGCTCTCATGTTTTACCGTGGGTAGTGTGTTTTACTGTGGGTAGTATGTTTTAGTATATATTTTTTTACTGTGGGTAGTATGGATTACTGTGGGTAGTAGTATGGTTTACTGTGGGTAGTATGGTAGTATGGTTTACTGGGGGTAGTATGGTAGTGTTTTACTGTGGGTAGTTTATTTTACTGTGGGTAGTAGGTTAAACAAATCAAAATATATTTTATATTTGAGATTCTTCAAATAGTCACCCTTTCCCTTGATGACAGCTTTGCACACTCTTGGCATTCTCTCAACCAGCTTCATGAGATAGTCACCTGGAATGCATTTCAATTAACAGGTGTGCCTTCTTAAAAGTTAATTTGTGAAATGTATTTCCTTCTTAATGCGTTTGAGCCAATCAGTTGTGTTGTGACAAGGTAGGGGGGGGGTATACAGACGAAAGTCCTATTTGGTAAAAGACCAAGTCCATATTATGGCAAGAACAGCTCAAATAAGCAAAGAGAAACGACAGTCCATCATTACTTTAAGACATGAAGGTCAGTCAATACGGAACATTTCAAGAACTCTGAAAGTTTCTTCAAGTGCAGTTGCAAAAACCATCAAGTGCTATGATGAAACTGGCTTTCATGAGGACCACCACAGGAATGGAAGTCCCAGAGTTACCTCTGCTGCAGAGGATAAGTTCATTGCAGCCCAAATACAGTGGCTTGCGAAAGTATTCACTCCCCTTGGCATTTTTCCTATTTTGTTGCCTTACAACCTGGAATTAAAATATTTTTTTGGGGGGGGGGTTGTATCATTTGATTTACACAACATACCTACCACTTTGAAGATGCAAAATATTTTTTCTTGTGAAACAAACAAGCAATCTTTAAGTCATACCACATATTCTCAATTTGATTGAGGTCTGGGCTTTGACTAGGCCATTCCAAGACATTTAAATGTTTCCCCTTAAACCACTCGAGTGTTGCTTTAGCAGTAAGCTTAGGGTCATTGTCCTGCTGGAAGGTGAACCTTTGTCCCAGTCTCAAATCTCTGGAAGTCTGAAACAGGTTTCCCTCAAGAATTTCCCTGTATTTAGCGCCATCCATCATTCCTTCAATTCTGACCAGTTTCCCAGTCCCTGCCGATGGAAAAACATCCCCACAGCATGATGGTGTTCTCTGGGTGATGAGAGGTGTTGGATTTGCGCCAGACCTAGCGTTTTCCTTGATGTCCAAAAAGCTCAATTTTAGTCTCATCTGACCAGAGTACCTTCTTCCATATGTTTGGGGAGTCTCCCAAATGGCTTTTGGTGAACACCAAATGTGTTTGCTTATTTTTTTCTTAAAGCAATGGCTTTTTTCTGGCCACTCTTCCGTAAAGCCCAGCTCTGTGGAGTGTACGGCTTAAAGTGGTCCTATGGACAGATACTCCAATCTCTGCTGTGGAGCTTTGCAGCTCCTTCAGGGTTATCTTTGGTCTCTTTGTTGCCTCTCTGATTAATGCCCTCCTTGCCTGGTCCGTGAGTTTTGGTGGGCGGCCCTCTCTTGGCAGGTTTGTTGTGGTGCCATATTCTTTCCATTTTTTTATAATGGATTTAATGGTGCTCTGTTGGGATGTTCAAAGTTTCAGATATTTTTTTATAACCCAACTGTGATCTGTACTTCTCCACAACTTTGTCCCTGACCTGTTTGGAGAGCTCCTTGGTCTTCATGGTGCCGCTTGCTTGGTGGTGCCCCTTGCTTAGTGGTGTTGCAGACTCTGGGGCCTTTCAGAACAGGTGTGTATGTGTATATATATATATATATATATATATACTGCGATCATGTGACAGATCATGTGACACTTAGATTGCACACAGGTGGACTTTATTTAACTAATTATGTAACTTCAGAAGGTAATTGGTTGCACCAGATTTTATTTAGGGGCTTCATAGCAAAGGGGGTGAATACATATGCACGTACCACTTTATCATTATTAATTTTTTAGAATTTTTTGAAACAAGTTATTTTTTTCATTTCACTTCAACAATTTGGACTATTTTGTGTATGTCCATTACATGAAATCCAAATAAAAATCCATTTAAATTACAGGTTGTAATGCAACAAAATAAGGGGGATGAATACTTTTGCAAGGCACTGTAAATGCTTCACAGAGTTCAAGTAACAGACACATCTCAACATCAACTGTTCAGAGGGGACTGTGTGAATCAGGCCTTCATGGTCGAATTGCTGCAAAGAAACCACTACTAAAGGACACCAATAAGAAGAAGAGACCTGCTTGGGCAAAGAAACACGAGCAATGGACATTAGACCAGTGGAAATTTGTCCTTTGGTCTGGAGTCCAAATTGGAGATATTTGGTTCCAACCGCCGTGCCTTTGTGAGATGCGGTGTGGTTGAACGGATGATCTCCGCATGTGTATTTCCCACCGTAAAGCATGGAGGAGGAGGTGTTATGGTGTGGGGGTGCTTTGCTGGTGACACTGTCTGTGATTTATTTAGAATTCAAGGCACACTTAGCCAGCATGGCTACCACAGCATTCTGCAGCGATACGCCATCCCATCTGGTTTGGGCTTAGTGGGACTATCATTTGTTTTTCAACAGGACAATGACCCAACACACCTCCAGGCTGTGTAAGGGCTATTTTACCAAGAAGGAGAGTGATGGAGTGCTGCATCAGATGACCTGGCCTCCACAATCCCCCGACCTCAACCCAATTGAGATTGTTTGGGATGAGTCGGACCGAGGAGTGAAGGAAAAGCAGCCAACAAGTGCTCAGCATATGTGGGAACTCCTTCAAGACTGTTGGAAAAGCATTCCAGGTGAAGCTGGTTGAGAGAATGCAAAGCAGTCATCAAGGGAAAGGCTGGCTATTTGAAGAATCTCAAATATAAAATATATACTTTTTTGGTTACTACATGATTCCATATGTGTTATTTTATAGTTTGATGTCTTCACTATTATTATACAATGTACAAATAAAGAAAAACCCTTGAATGAGTAGGTGTGTCCAAACTTTTGACTGGTAGTGTATATTTTACTGTGGGTATTATGGTAGTGTGTTTTACTGTGGGTAGTATGGTAGTATGCTTTACTGTGGGTAGTATATTTAACTGTTGGTAGAATGGAAGTAATTTTTTTACTGTAGGTAGTTTTTATTTAATAATGTGGGTAGTATGTTTTTAATGTGGGTAGTATGTTTTAACTGTGGGTAGAATGGTAGTGTGTTTTACTGTGGTAGTATGTTAGTGTGTTTTACTGTGGTAGTATGGTAGTGTGTTTTACTGTGGGTAGTATGGTAGTGTGTTTTACTGGAGTAGTATATTTTACTGTGGGTAGGATGGTAGTGTGTTTTACTGTGGGTAGTATGGTAGTATGTTTTACTGTGGGTAGTATGTTTTACAGTGGGTAGTATGGTTTACTGTGGGTAGTATGGCAGTATGTTTTACTGGGGGTAGCATGGCTTTCTTGGCTTCTTTCACTTCAAGGATATAAATTGTTCTCTTGAACTGTGTTATTGCTGTTCACCTTTAACAGTCATGATGTTGGTCTTCTTCTCCCACTCCTATTATCCGTGACTAAGTGACCAGTAAGATTACAACCTCCCTGTTTCTGCAGCTGTGCTCTGCCATTTGCCAGAGGCCCTTTAAAGCATGGTGTTGGCGCAGCGTCCCCACCTGCCAGACCATCAAAAAGCCGTCCAAGCAGGAGAGCTACCAGCTGGGAGATACTAGAGAGCCCAGTCATGCCAACCCCGTAGAGCCAGAGCCCATGGCATCCGAAAGGGTGTACCCACAACACCAATCTGGTTTTGGAACACATGCCTCCCCCAGCCCTCCTCCCTCAGTGTGGCACATGATGCCTGCGTTGAAACATTGTATGTGTGTGACTGACTGACCGTGTCTCTTCCTCTTCTCCCTCAGATCCCATCTGATGCCGAGGCTGAAGGAATCGCGGTCTCACGAGTCGTTGCTCAGCCCCAGCAGTGCAGTAGAAGCTTTAGATCTCAGCATGGAGGATGAGGTGTTGATCAAACCGGTGCACAGCAGCATCCTGGGCCAGGACTACTGCTTCGAGGTGAGCCCACCCCACACCACCACCACTGCCTCTCATGACTGTCGCAGCTCAAGGCTCGCTGACTCTTTTTAATAGTATTTCTTAGGATCCTAAACCTCTGTATATAATGCATTGTGTTTAATCTACTCTTCATTTCATCGCCATTACATATGTCTTAAAACCAGCAGGTCTCTGACTGTCTGTCAAGCAGCCAGTGCCTTTGGGTAGTGTGAGTGTGTGGCTGGGCATTTGTTAGGGAGGAGGGTCTCTCTGCCCCTCCGCTTTCTGCCCGGCAGGGGCCTGTGTGTCTGCCTGACCCATCTGTTGGCATCTCCATGCTCCTGCTCTCTGTGGATCTGCTCGGAGAGGTGAGCGCCAAGGGGTCCCCAATCACAAGGATTTACTGCCTATTATGCTAAAGCACGCTGCCAGCTGGACAGACCATGGCTCTGTGACCGAGAGGACGTCTGACGGGGTCAGCCATAAAACGACAAGCGTTTCTCTCGTGAACAAGTGCAAGAGGATTTCAATGGCTGTCCAGGCTCATTGTTTAGTCTGGTATCAGTGTGCACTGTGCAGACCCTGCAGCTCAGCTGGAATGTGTGTGTGTGTGTGTGATACCCAACCCTGCTTTAGATGATACACACAGGCCATCCTATGGGTGTTTTTCATGATCCATTACCTAAAGGGAAGGGCTTAATCATCTGCCATACTTTCACAGGTAACCACTTCCACTGGAACCAAATGCTTTTCGTGCCGGTCATCTGCCGAGAGGGACAAATGGATGGAGAACTTAAGGAGAGCTGTACATCCAAACAAGGTAAACCCTATGCTATATAGCGTATAGGGCCCTCTGTGGAAGAAAATAATAATACAATAGAATACATGTCAAAGTACCCAGGAAAAGTCTCACATGATGTTTTTCACAGGACAACAGTCGGCGTGTGGAGAACCTTCTAAAATTGTGGATTATTGAGGCCAAGGACCTTCCAGCCAAGAAAAGGTATTTCTGTGAGTTGTGTCTGGATGACACGCTTTACGCACGGACTACCTGCAAACTGAAAACAGACAATGTGTTCTGGGGAGAGCACTTTGAGTTCAACAACTTACCTGCCATCAAAAGTGTCACCGTCCACCTGTACAAGGAGACGGACAAAAAGAAAAAGAAGGACAAGAACAGCTATGTGGGCCTGGTCAACATTCCCGCCGGCGCCGTCACGGGACGCCAGTTTGTGGAGAAGTGGTACTCTGTGAGCACGCCCAACCCGAACAAAGGGAAAACTCCCGGACCTATGATTCGGCTCAAGTCGCGGTACCAGAGCATGAGTATCCTGCCCATGGAGTCATATAAGGAGTTTGCAGAGTACATCACCAATAACTACATGCTACTGTGCTCCATCCTGGAGCCTGGCCTCAGTGTGAAGAACAAGGAGGAGATGGCCAGTGCCCTGGTGCACATCCTACAGAGCACTGGCAAGGCTAAGGTAAGGCCCCCTACTCTCTACAGAGGCTGTCCTACACTCAAACGATAGTGTGTTGTGTTCTCTGCATTTCCATTTTCAAATGATAGTCCAAAATAGTCATATTGCCGAATGTCAAATATAAACACAACCCAGATCGAATTGATAGTAAAGGAGAGCTTCGCCAGCTCTCCTATTGTAGTCATTACAGCTGTGAGGGCTTTGATTGGTCACAATCAGTGATACCATTGTCTCGGATAATAAGTCAACATCATCTCAGCTGCATATTGCACACTTAAGCTGCAAAAGGTTAGGTTAGATAGAATAGGGGTCTGGGGTTTGAAAAGGAGTCCAGATAAGGTTATCTCGTCTCGGTCTAGGATTGGGGATTAAAAGTCCAGTTAGCCTCATATTTCTAGTCTTTGGGAGTCCTCCCACATGCTTACTGTAAGCAGTCTCCTAGACCTAGAAGAATGTGAATGCTTCCTGTTTGGGTTGGGGAGGGTCGTGTTTATTAGGAGTCAAACAGAAGAAAGTGAACTGAAACAGGGACGTACTACTGGGACATGTCCAGTGAGAAAAGGCTCATTTTCGTTTTCCGTTGCAAAACTCTTTGGAATGTTTTCCGTTGTGTTCCCTAATGAACACGACCCAGCTTGCTGTGGAAAGAGAATGGGAACCACCTGTGCTTAGTGGGTGGTTGGGGTACTGTGATGACAAGAATATATTGTATTAGCACTTTCTAATGAGGACTAGCTGAAAGGGGACTTGTGTACACTAACTGACGGACAAAGCAAACTTCTGGTAATACCTCCAACTTAGGACAATGGGCTGTGGTCACTATGTTTCATTTGAAACAAAGGCCTAGATCATTTTAATTCTGTCCCTTTTTTCCCCCACTTGCCATACGTTAGGCTATGTGGTAAACTGTCCTTCTCTAATCTAGGTAATCAATATATGCCATTGAGGGATTGTTGTTTGGTGTTTTTGAACTAACAGTAACATCGAACTGTATGGAATTGAGAAATGTCGCCGAACTCCACACAAGAAAAACTCCCCTACTACAGAGATCAAATCAAATCAAGCTTTATTTATACAGCACATTTCAGACATTGCAGCAAATAAAACACAATGAAAATAAAAGCTGAAATATTTACTACACAATAAACATAAGTTAGAAAAACAACAGAATGACACAAACTGAACAACTAAAAAGCACCCTTATAGAAGCAAACCGGATGGACATCATGAAAATGATCGGAGAGGTTGAGAGTAGAAGAAGTTCAGGAGAAAGAACAAACAAAATGTAATTACTGTAAAATTGACTGTGTCCATAAAATGTAGATAGTGGGTATGGGCTGGAAGTAGAGGCCTAGGCGTTGTTGTTCACTAGTTTACTCCAAGTGGGGAAAGGGTGGCGGGGTTGGAAAGTAATAAAGGGGAATATATATATATTTTTAAAGGATATGTATGTATGTATGTATGTATGTATGCGTGTATGTGTACATATATATAATATATATATATATATATATATATATATATATATATATATATATATATATATATATATATATATATATACAGTGGGGAAAAAAGGTCAGATGAAACCAAAATATAACTTTTTGGTAAAACCTCAACTCGTCGTGTTTGGAGGACGTAGAATGCTGAGTTGCATCCAAAGAACACCATGGGGGTGGAAACATCATGCTTTGGGGCTGTTTTTCTGCAAAGGGACCAGGACGACTGATCCGTGTAAAGGAAAGAATGAATGGGGCCATGTATCGTGAGATTTTGAGTGAAAACCTCCTTCCATCAGCAAGGGCATTGAAGATGAAACGTGGCTGGGTCTTTCAGCATGACAATGATCTCAAACACACCACCCGGGCAACGAAGGAGTGGCTTCGTAAGAAGCATTTCAAGGTCCTGGAGTGGCCTAGCCAGTCTCCAGATCTCAACCCCATAGAAAATCTTTGGAGGGTGTTGAAAGTCCGTGTTGCCCAGCGACAGCCCCAAAACATCACTGCTCTAGAGGAGATTTGCATGGAGGAATGGGCCAAAATACCAGCAACAGTGTGTGAAAACCTTGTGAAGACTTACAGAAAACGTTTGACCTGTGTCATTGCCAACAAAGGGTATATAACAAAGTATTGAGAAACTTTTGTTATTGACCAAATACTTATTTTCCACCATAATTTGCAAATAAATTCATTAAAAATCCTACAATGTGATTTTCTGGAAAAAAAAATCTCAATTTGTCTGTCATAGTTGACGTGTACCTATGATGAAAATTACAGGCCTGGCGGCGTAGTGTGTTACTGATGGTAGGCTTTGTTACTTTGGTCCCAGCTCTCTGCAGTGTGGTTCTGGGATTTTTGCTCACCGTTCTTGTGATCATTTTGACCCCACGGGGTGAGATCTTGCGTGGAGCCCCAGATCGAGGGAGATTATCAGTGGTCTTGTATGTCTTCCATTTCCTAATAATTGCTCCCACAGTTGATTTCTTCAAACCAAGCTGCTTACCTATTGCAGATTCAATCTTCCCAGCCTGTTTCTGGTGTCCTTTGACAGCTCTTTGGTCTTGGCCATAGTGGAGTTTGGAGTGTGACTGTTTGAGGTTGTGGACAGGTGTCTTTTATACTGATAACAAGTTCAAACAGGTGCCATTAATACAGGTAACGAGTGGAGGACAGAGGAGCCTCTTAAAGAAGAAGTTACAGGTCTGTGAGAGCCAGAAATGTTGCTTGTTTGTAGGTGACCAAATACTTATTTTCCACCATAATTTGCAAATAAATTCATTAAAAATCCTACAATGTGATTTTCTGGAATTTTTTTCTCTCAATTTGTCTGTCATAGTTGACGTGTACCTATGATGAAAATTATAGGCCTCTCTCATCTTTTTAAGTGGGAGAACTTGCACAATTGGTGGCTGACTAAATACTTTTTTCCCCCACTGTATATGTATGTGTATGTGTGTATGTATGTATGTATGTATGTATGTATGTATGTATGTATGTATGTATGTATGTATGTACAGTGGGGAGAACAAGTATTTGATACACTGCCGATTTTGTAGGTTTTCCTACTTACAAAGCATGTAGAGGTCTGTAATTTTTATCATAGGTACACTTCAACTGTGAGAGACGGAATCTAAAACAAAAATCCAGAAAATCACATTGTATGATTTGTAAGTAATTAATTTGCATTTTATTGCATGACATAAGTATTTGATCACCTACCAACCAGTAAGAATTCCGGCTCTCACGGACCTGTTCGTTTTTCTTTAAGAAGCCCTCCTGTTCTCCACTCATTACCTGTATTAACTGCACCTGTACACACACTCAATCAAACAGACTCCAACCTCTCCACAATGGCCAAGACCAGAGAGCTGTGTAAGGACATCAGGAATAAAATTGTAGACCTGCAAAGGCTGGGATGGGCTACAGGACAATAGGCAAGCAGCTTGGTGAGAAGGCAACGACTGTTGGCGCAATTATTAGAAAATGGAAGAAGTTCAAGATAACGGTCAATCCCCCTCGGTCTGGGGCTCCATGCAAGATCTCACCTCGTGGGGCATCAATGATCATGAGGAAGGTGAGGGATCAGCTCAGAACTACATGGCAGGACCTGGTCAATGACCTGAAGAGAGCTGGGACCACAGTCTCAAAGAAAACCATTAGTAACACACTACGCCGTCATGGATTAAAATCCTGCAGCGCACGCAAGGTCCCTCTGCTCAAGCCAGCGCATGTCCAGGCCTGTCTGAAGTTTGCCAATGACCATCTGGATAATCCAGAGGAGGAATGGGAGAAGGTCATGTGGTCTGATGAGACAAAAATATAGCTTTTTGGTCTATACTCTATGGAGGAAGAAGAAGGATGAGTACAACCCCAAGAACACCATCCCAACCATGAAGCATGGAGGTGGAAACATCATTCTTTGGGAATGCTTTTCTGCAAAGGGGACAGGATGACTGCACCGTATTGAGGGGAGGATGGATGTATCACAAGATCTTGGCCAACAACCTCCTTCCATCAGTAAGAGCATTGAAGATGGGTCGTGGCTGGGTCTTCCAGCATGACAATGACCCGAAACACACAACCAGGGCAACTAAGGAGTGGCTCCGTAAGAAGCATCTCAAGGTCCTGGAGTGGCCTAGCCAGTCTCCAGACCTGAACCCAATAGAAAATCTTTGGAGGGAGCTGAAAGTCCGTATTGCCCAGCGACAGCCCCGAAACCTGAAGGATCTGGAGAAGGTCTGTATGGAGGAGTGGGAAAAAATCCCTGCTGCAGTGTGTGCAAACCTGGTCAAGACCTACAGGAAACGTATGATCTCTGTAATTGCAAACAAAGGTTTCTGTACCAAATATTAAGTTCTGCTTTTCTGATGTATCAAATACTTATGTCATGCAATAAAATGCAAATTAATTACTTAAAAATCATACAATGTGATTTTCTGGATTTTTGTTTTAGATTCCGTCTCTCACAGTTGAAGTGTGGTATGTGTGTATTGTATGTATTATGTTTATATGTGTATATATATACATATGATTTATATATGTGTATATTATATATATATAAAAACATGGGGGATTGGAAGTGATGCAGACAATTACATTGATGGAAGTTACAATCTATCTGCAATATTAAGCTGATCTACCCCCCCCCCCCCCCCCCCCAAAAAAAAAAGCACCCTTAGGAAAGCAAAGCTAAAAATGTGTTTTAAGATCTCTTGTAAATATGTCCACCAATATAAGTCATGTTAAGATTCCGTCTTTATCCACGTTCCGTCTTTATTGCAAACTGCGCAGATGATCAGATCTCACCATGCCTGGAGAAGTGTTTCACTTCTCAGGAGCTACATGAACGTGATCTATCTAGTAGCAAGCAATGCTATATCTAATATGAATGTGGTTGTGACCTGGTACACGGCCACTGTGCTGTCTGCTTTCCTTCCTGGGACTGGTGAGAGAGAAGTGTCAGCCTCCTGTGGTAATTAGCCTACTCGTCCTCATTAATTCCTGCTCCACTCCATCCACTCTTCAGCTCCTGCTATAAAACCATGCAGTGAGACTGAACGCTAACGCTGGTGTGTGTGTGTTCATGTGCACAAGGTCATCACTTGTTATTGCGGAGCGCTGTTTCAGCACAGAAACTTCTCTTTAGACTTTGCCCCTCAAACTTTGCTGCTGCTATGTAACACCACTGTGATAATGTCCATGCCCCACAGAAGCTTACGCCTATTAGTCTTAGCTAGAACAGCAATAGGGCGATGGAGCTTCATTATGTTAGCCTACGTTCTGCTCTGAGAAACAAGTGGAGCTTTGCCTCATTTTGCATCTATCCACTGCCCTGTGGTGGCTCACACCCCCTCCCTCTCATTTAATTTCCCTGTTTAGCCCTAATCCAATAGATGGATAGCTAAGGATCTGTGGCTCTATGCTTTCACTCAGGTTCCTGCTAGTCTAGAGGCTCTCTCTTTCATTTTAAAATGACTGTTGCTATTGGTTACAACTTCAAAAAGACAAAACACTGTAAGAGACAAACACTTTAAGTTCAGCTTCTCACCCTTTCCAGGGCACAATTGATTCAAATATGCTTCAATATTGCTCCTAGTGATCTATTCACAAACCCACCTGGCATAGCATGTTAGTAAGTGTGTTACCCACCTGGCATAGTGTGTTAGTGTGTTACCCACCTGGCATAGCTTGTTAGTGTGTTACCCACCTGGCATAGCTTGTTAGTGTGTTACCCACCTGGCATAGCTTGTTAGTGTGTTACCCACCTGGCATAGCTTGTTAGTGTGTTACCCACCTGGCATAGCTTGTTAGTGTGTTACCCTCCTGGCATAGCTTGTTAGTGTGTTACCCACCTGGCATAGCTTGTTAGTGTGTTACCCACCTGGCATAGCTTGTTAGTGTGTTACCCACCTGGCATAGCTTGTTAGTGTGTTACCCACCTGGCATAGCTTGTTAGTGTGTTATCCACCTGGCATAGCTTGTTAGTGTGTTATCCACCTGGCATAGCTTGTTAGTGTGTTACCCACCTGGCATAGCTTGTTAGTGTGTTACCCACCTGGCATAGCGTGTTAGTGTATTACCCACCTGGCATAGCTTGTTAGTGTGTTACCCACCTGGCATAGCGTGTTAGTGTGTTACCCACCTGGCATAGCGTGTTAGTGTGTTACCCACCTGGCATAGTGTGTTAGTGTATTACCCACCTGGCTTAGTGTGTTAGTAAGTGCAGTCAGTGCATGTTAAAGACTTCCCTAGCCGTTCTCCAGGCCTGTCTTGGGGTAGCAGTAGGGAGTGGGACAGTAAAACCATTTTCATATTGCCCCGAATTGTACTCTGCTAGGGCAGACTTGGATCATTTCCTTTTCATATTGCCCTTTCCCAACATGGGTCCAACAACTATGGTGGATGCGTAACCATGCCGGCCCGGCTTAGCACAGTAGTGTGAGACGGGTATAGCTTAGTCTGTGTGTATGTGTGTGTTTGTGCGTGGCTGTGTGTGTGGCTGATGTGCAGTGAGTGACTGTGTGCTGTGAGTGACTGTGTTAGTGTCTGTTAGGATACACAGCACCTCGTATAGTCATAATCCTCTGCACCATCCAGATACCATAGTGTAATGGTTGGATGATCTGGACCACGGCTTGTGTCAACATGGGAGGCACCAGTTACATTGACGAGGAGCATTCAGGTATTTAGCCTACATTTGGCTGATACAGTAGATACTGTGCGTACAGTAGCTGAAATGTCTACCTCTCTCTCTGGTACAATCTTTGGGATTACGATAGCATGTTCCCTTTGACGCTCCATTAGCATGCATAGCACCCCCAGGCCTCCCATAGAAGTGACTGCAGTCAGCCAGAGCAGACTACAGGAGCTCATAAAGAGGGAGTGTGACTGGTTAAGAAGGACACGGCCTGAGAAGGACTGGGAGTGGGGAAGGAAGGGAGTGGAGGGGCTAACCACTTGATCCATTAGCCCAGAATCGATAAGAGAGGAAGAGTCATCACTTGTCTGAGCTGCCTGTCTCTCTCTCTCTGTCCAAACTCACTGGTCTCAGTATCAATCAGGCTTATTATGAGGCTTGGGCTGTGCAGCAGTACACTGTTATTTATTTATGTAGAGACTGTTCACGTGCTGCATTTCAGATCACATTGATAGGCTCATTTGCTTGCAATACACACGATCTAGATCTGTTCCCAGGGCATAGGATAGTATCAATGTAACTTGTTGCTCTATTTATGTTTTTACTGTCCATTATGTTCTGTCTCTAGCTACTTTTAAAAACCAATAAAAAACAATTGCAATAATAATAAGATCTGTTCCCAGGACTCATCTACAGAGATCACTACCACATCATAACACACACCTCGGTAGAACAGCGGCGCTGGTTGCCTGGTTCCATGATGCAGCTCTGATCAGCCTTCCCACTGGGCACAGACGTCAGTTCAACGTCTAGTTTTGATTTACATTTGGTTGAGCTGTCAACTAACGTGAATTCAACGTGAAATCAACAGAACATGTCACCATGTCATTGGATTTAGGTTAAAAGTTGAGTGAAAAAAAATATGAAATTCCCTTACGTTGGTGACTTTTTCCAAATCCAATCAGTTTTCCATGTTGATTCAACGTCATCACGTATATTTTTTGGGTTGAAATGACGTGAAAACAACATTGATTCAACCAGTTTTTGCCCAGCCGGTGCCCATTCACTCACCTTATTGTCAAAGTTGTATTTGTGTGTTCTTGGCGGTGAATATGGGACGAGGCGACACAATGCTCTGTTCCAATACTTTAAAAATGTATGCTTCGTTCCTTTCTCCCTTCTGAGAATTATGATGACATGATAGGATTGGTGAAAGCTACAGTATGTTGTGGAAACCTTGCTGTTAGCCTACCTATCCAATTGGGTGAGGTCAGTGGAAGGAAGGAAGGAAGGAAGGAAGGAAGGAAGGAAGGAAGGAAGGAAGGAAGGAAGGAAGGAAGGAAGGAAGGACATTTATTTTCAAAGTTTTGGAACAGGGCCTCACAGTTCTATTTTGCTTTCAGGACTTCCTGACTGACCTGATGATGTCAGAAGTGGATCGTTGTGGGGAGAACGAGCACCTGATCTTCAGGGAGAACACGCTGGCCACCAAAGCCATTGAAGAGTACCTTAAACTGGTGGGGCAGAGGTATCTGCAGGACGCACTAGGTACGTGACATCCAGACACACTAAAGGAGACAGTGCTGCTACTACAGCAGAGAGCAAAAGTATTTTAGGAGAGAAGAGGAGCCATGAACACATGGAATAGGCCTATGTATTGTTCATTAAGTATCATACATCTGGCTAGTATCTGGCCTTCAGAAAAACTCCCTGTACTCTCCACACACAGTACATTTTTAAGTGACTATTCAGATCAATAATTCATTGTTTTTCTGGAAAGTGACTTTGTTTGAAGCCGTGTTGAATGATTCAGAACGTCGATCTGTCCTTGATGGTTGACTGGCCCTCTTAAAAGTATATCACCAAAGATAAAAGGGAATAAAATAACTCGGGGCTCTTTCACTAGCTGTCTAGCGAAGTAAAACCTTGGTGCAAGACAATCAGTGAGAAAATGATTCATCAATCTAGCTGTGGGGTGGCGATTTGAGTCTGTCATCTGATGTCCGTGGACTTGTACGATGGAAGGAGGAACTCAATTCAACAAAGGGAACAGTGTTGTTTTTTTACCACGTTTTGTCATGCGTCACCAGATATTTTGAACACCAATAGTCCAATAGTCCATAAACAGTCATAGCAAATAACAGCAGCAGTTTCCTTACCTAGTACAATAAGTGGATTTTCTATCAGTGTTTATGACATTAGCGTGTGCCAACTAGCAGAACTGTATGATTTTAGTGCCAAAAGAAATTGCATCTTCATAACTGTAGGCCTATATGTACTGTAATGGAGATTGTGGTCCTAGTCAGAGTAGTGACAACAGGCCTGTGTGCTGTTCTCCCTCCCTCTCCCAGGAGAGTTCATCAAAGCCCTGTACGAGTCAGACGAGAACTGCGAGGTAGACCCGGGGAAGTGTTCCTCAGGAGACCTCCCTGAGAACCAGAGCAACCTGAAGATGTGCTGTGAGCTGGCCTTCTGCAAGATCATCGACTCCTACCGGTAAATACACACACATCCCTCCCCCTCTCTGCCAATACAAGTAGCTAGCATTAGCCCTCATATTCTACTACCAAGCTTTCAGAGCTTTCACCATCGTCTAATGAAAGCTTGAATTGTGCAAAGGATGTACAAAAAAAAAAGAATGTACCTACCAATGTTTCCATGCAGTGTTTTCCCGCGGGAACTGAAGGAGGTGTTTGCCTCGTGGAGGCAGCAGTGCAGCAGTCGGGGCCGGCCGGACATCAGCGAGCGTCTGATCAGCGCCTCTCTGTTCCTGCGCTTCCTGTGTCCAGCCGTTATGTCACCGTCACTCTTCAACCTGATGCAGGAGTACCCCGACGACCGCACCGCACGCACCCTCACGCTCATCGCCAAGGTCACGCAGAACCTCGCCAACTTCACCAAGTAAGTGGGGGTGTGTGTACGAGTGTGTTAGTGATGCACGGGTTGACTCATAACCCACAGTCCCCGCGGTTATGTCTGCAGGGCAGGCTGGTTTAAATATTGTGTGGGTGAAGAGCTGTTGGGTGAAGAGAAAACAATACCTTCAAAAATCCATAAATGTATCATTCTTGTGCAATTTCTATCTATAGGCTACATTGGAAAAGATTTGGTGTGATGATTGTGAGGCGCTATACAAATTAAACGGCCACAAGACGGGGACTACAAATAGGCCTATGGCACCTCAAGGGAACTGTAGCCTACTGGTCAGATGGGTTAAATGGAAACTGAAATCTGGACACTGACTGTAGGTCTATAACCTATCACATACAGTTGAAGTCGGAAGTTTACATACACTTAGGTTGGAGTCATTAAAACTTGTTTTTCAACCACTTTCCAACAATTGTTTACAGACAGATTATTTCACTTATAATTCACTGTATCACAATTCCAGTGGGTAAGAAGTTTACATACACTAAGTTGACTGTGCCTTTAAACAGCTTGGAAAATTCCAGAAAATTGTCATGGCTTTAGAAGCTTCTGATAGGCTAATTGACATAATTTGAGTCAATTGGAGGTGTACCTGTGGATGTATTTCAAGGCCTACCTTCAAACTTTGCTTGACATCATGGGAAAATCAAAATAAATCAGCCAAGACCTCCCCCAAAAAACTGTAGACCTCCACAAGTCTGGTTCATCCTTGGGAGCAATTTCCAAACGCCTGAAGGTACCACGTTCATCTGTACAAACAATAGTATGCAAGTATAAACACCATGGGACCATGCAGCTGTCATACTGCTCAGGAAGGAGACGCGTTCTGTCTCCTAGAGATGAACGTACTTTGGGGTGAAAAGTGCAAATCAATCCCAGAACAACAGCAAAGGACCTTGTGAAGATGCTGGAGGAAACTGGTAAAAAAAGTATCTATATCCACAGTAAAACGAGTCCTATATCGACATAACCTGAAAGGCCGCTCAGCAAGGAAGAAGCGACTGCTCCAAAACCGCCATAAAAAAGCCAGACTACGGTTTGCAACTGCACATGGGGACAAAGATCGTACTTTTTTGGAGAAATGTCCTCTGGTCTGATGAAACAAAAATATAACTGTTTGGCCATAATGACCATCGTTATGTTTGGAGGAAAAAGGGAGGAATCTTGCAAGGCCAAGAACACCATCCCAACTGTGAAGCACGGGGGTGGCAGCATCATGCTGTGTGGGTGCTTTGCTGCAGGAGGGACTGGTGCACTTCACAAAATAGATGGCATCATGAGGAAGGAAAATTATGTGGATATATTGAAGCAACATCTCAAGACATCAATCAGGAAGTTAAAGCTTGGTCGCAAATGGGTCTTCCAAATGGACAATGACCCCAAGCATACTTCCAAAGTTGTGGCAAAATGGCTTAAGGACAACAAAGTCAAGGTATTGGAATGGCCATCACAAAGCCCTGACCTCAATCCTATAGAAAATGAGTGGCCAGAACTGAAAAGGCTTGTGCAAGCAAGGAGGCCTACAAACCTGACTCAGTTACACCAGCTCTGTCAGGAGAAATGGGCCAAAATTCACCCAACTTATTGTGGGAAGCTTGTGGAAGGCTACCAGAAACGTTTGACCCAAGTAAAACAATTTAAAGGCAATGCTACCAAATACTAATTGAGTGTATGTAAACTTTTGACCCACTGGGAATGTGATGAAAGAAATAAAAGCTGAAATAAATCATTCTCTCTACTATTATTCTGACATTTCACATTCTTAAAATAAAGTGGTGATCCTAACTGACCTAAGACAGGGAATTTTTACTCAGATTAAATGTCAGGAATTGTGAAAAACTGAGTCTAAATGTATTTGGCTAAGGTGTATGTAAACTTCCGACTTCAACTGTAGCTGTAATATTAACTCCTGCAGAATAAAGCATTTCTTGCAGTAAAATGATACAGCAAATGTAGGCAACATTTTTACTCTGGAACAGGATTGGAGAAATATGATTTCTTTGTTTCAGCATCTTGAGAGAATGTGAATGCTTAGTTGGATACCATCTGTAGACGTGCAATCTTTATCAGCATCATAAAAGCTAATAGTATTTCAACCACATAAAATATGCATCCAAGCCGAACTGAAATCTTATCAGAAACACGTTGGGTAGTTTTCACAGCCTTCTATTTCCTTACAACCGGCCAAACTGATGTCATTTCAACATTTTTGCACAGAAAATCTTTAGTTTTTTGGAGGGGGTTATTGCATTTTCTCCCCAGTCCCTTAACGTCTTTGCGCCACGAAAGAAGCAGAGATGACAGAGAACTTTACCAATGTCAGCTAGATTGAAGCATTCATTCTAATGATTTATGACATTCTGGTGAGCTGGGGTTTATTTAGTCTTCTAGGACTACATATAATGACAGACGAGAAGCTGCATGTATCTAATTATAGACTAACAAATAGCCTGTCGAAATATCAGAAATTATAAGCAAAAACATATCTAAATCAGCCCCCAAAAAATCCTGCACCCCGTCCAAAATTATTTTAGCCATCTATGACGGTAGCCTACAGCGCATTTTCTATATTAGCGGGTTAGGGTCGGGTGCGGGCCTCATATTTTCACTTTATCACATATAGTCGGGCGGTTGCGGATGGGTTATTAGCAATTGCGGGCAGGTGCGGGTGAACAAACAACTGTCCCACGCACCACTAGTGCGCATCCATAAAATATACATGTTGGTGTGTTTATCTGTTGAAAACCGCATCATTCCTTCTGTTTTTGTTCCTTTATCTGTCCAGGTTTGGTAACAAGGAGGAGTACATGTCCTTTATGAACCAGTTCCTGGAGCACGAGTGGACCAACATGCAGCGCTTCCTGCTGGAGATCTCCAACCCAGAGACCATCTCCAACACGGCAGGGTTCGAGAGTTACATTGACCTGGGCCACGAGCTCTCCTCCCTGCACTCCCTGCTGGCCGAGGACGTCTCTCAGCTGGACCAGGTACCAGGATTACACCACACTACTGGGATTTACTCTGTAATGACACACTCGCACTACGCGCTACTTTCAGCGACCGAGCGACCGGATACTAGTCCTTTTCAATGGGCTTGACAAAAGGGGGACATGCTGATGTTATATGTGAAAATGACATGTTACTAAATAATGAGTTCATAGGAATTGCATGAGACATATGCATGGGAGATATTAGTGTGCATTATTATTTTGTCTCCCTGCAGAGCACAGCCTCTAAGTTGGGTCCCTTGGCCCGTATACTGTGGGACGTGAACTCAGCGCTGACCAACCCATCTGGGGTACAGGTGTCCACCCCTACAGAGCGCATGGGCTCTCCCCCCCTTCCCCTCCCCCTCCCATTGGCAAGCTGCAGCCTCTCCACCGGCCTACCTCTTCACAAGATGGTCATGGACAGCGAGCTCTCTGGGTAAGGGGGCCACAGAATTCTAATGACAGTGTTATTTATGCTTCGTATGACACACACAACCTGCAGAGATCTGGAGATCTATGTGGGAGTTTACATTATCAGCATTTCAACATTTAACTTAAAGGCCCAATGCAGTCGTTTTTATATTGCTATCAAATAATTTCTGGGTAACAGTTAAGTACCTTACTGTAATAGGTTTCCATTAAAATTGGCTAAAATTGCTTTTTAGCAAAAAAACTATTTCTCAAGCAAGAATTTTGCATGGACTGTCTGGGAGTGGTCTGAGTGGTGAGGGGAAAACTGAAAACTGAAAACTAGCTGTTATTGGCAGAGCGGTTTGGAACTCTCTTTGTTATTGGTCTGTTAACCAATTTACCGCATAGTGACGTCGCAATGGAAAGACAACTCTTTTACAGTGTCAGTTTCATCAGCTATTGTACAATATGTGACCAACCGGCTCGATTCGGTCTTATGTAGCAAAATTTGAAATGGTGTTTTTTACATTAGATAAAAGTAGAGACTCAGTGCTAGAAAATGGTATATCATACCCTACAGTTGAGGAACAATGGGAAAGTAATTCTGCTTTGAAAGTTGATAAACTTGTAACCCCACTTTTGAGAAAATGGCCCTTGAATGTTTTGGTACACCTACTGGAGAGCTCTTCATTGTCAATACCCATTCAGCATCGTTCACACCCTCTTAAGCCTTAGCCCAACCATCTCTTTAAGGATTCACGTGCGGCCATGTGCTGAACTGTACGGTGACTACGGTAGTGTATTAAACAACCAAATATTTCAAGACTAAAGTCTGGTTTATACTACGTCTATCGACATGTCTTTATAAAGTTGTCGCAGTGACATCATGAACATTCTATTGTCGTCCGACATCAAACTTGTCGTTATGAAAAAGTATAAACACAAAAACGACAGGCTGCATGACATCGGCAGCCTGGTGGTCCAAAATAGCATAACTGGTGAATTTTAACACCAATAAACCACAGTAGGAAAAAAAAAAATAAAAAATACAAAAGAAACCCATCCGTTTAAAAAAAGAATTTAGTATATATCAATCTAGCACATCAGGAAACTAAAAGCAACTTTCTAAACAATGTTTTGGTTCGTTTCTAGTTTGTTAGCTAGCTAGCTAAGTTCGTTAAGTTAGCTGGCTAGCCAGTTCAAATAATGACCATATCATATAGCTGACACGTCTTAACTTTAGCTAATTTGTATTCATTATTACAGGAAAATAAACTCACAAGAAGATCATTATTTACAATTTAAGGGCGAGCTAATTACAGAAAATAGCTTACAGTTGTGAGTGTGACGAAAAAAAAAGCAGGGCATTCTACTTGAGAATTTTAGAACTTGGACACTGTCTTGTTGACCTAAAGTTATATCCTAATTTGACATTGGTACAGGCCATGTTGTTCTTCACATTACCGTCTCTGGTAAACACATACTATAGCAAATAAAATCCATGTTTATTTGTCACAAACACAGGATACAGAAGGTGTAAACGGTACAGTGAAATTATTACTTGCATAGTGGAGTCTTTTGTTTAGACATGTAGCTAGCTAGCTAGTTAAACAATGAACCATAATCCCAACTCATAACGTTACTACCCTGCATTAATCTACCGGTAGCTAAAGCTAACCAACTAGGTTCAATGTTAGCTAGCTAGCTAACATCAGGCTATAACTAGCAATGCAAATGGCTCTGAGATACGAATAATATTACTACACAGATCATACACGTAACGTTAGCTAGCCAGCCAGCTAACGTTAGCTAGCTAGCTAACAGTATGCTTTAACTTGCAATGAAAATGACTTTCTTACAAAATTAAAAACGTATAATATCTGAAAATGTAGCTAGCTAGACTTTCTTACCCGTATACATGGATGAACGCTTCTCCCTCTCTGTCACGGATGCCATGGTTGCCCTTAGTTTGAAGATGTAATCCGGAGACAGGTGTTTTTTGCAATTCTTCATGATATCTTTAAAAAAAAGCAGCATTAGAAAGGATTACCTACACATACTGAGCAGCTCATGTTATAGACAGACGCATGCTACATGGCAGACCAATCTCTCGGCATGTCCAACCCATCCATTGTCTCAGCCAATCATGGCTAGCGGGAAGGTTCCTGTGTTGTCCGTGGCTAAACCGACTAGGCTCGTAATTTAACAATTTTATTCGTATTTACAGATGGCATTCAAATGTGTTATTAAGGCACATGAAATGTCACATTCCAGAAGGCATTTCTGCAACAACAACAACAACAAATATTTTAAAAAATGTTTACATTCAAATGCCTCTCCTGTGAGGTAGTGACGCGCGACATATGCCTTGTTTCCATATGATATGAAACACTGGAAAAACATAATTTTGACTGCACTGGGCCTTTTTAATAGATGTTGATTTTACAATTCAGCAATTTCTTGACAGTTCTTTGGAAGGGTATTATCTTTACAGTGTCTCCGGTCTAAAACAACATTTATCTCATTTGATGCTGTTGTCTTGGTGCAGGTTGGTTGATTTTACGAGGCTGCCGTCGCCAACCCCAGAGAACAAGGATTTATTCTTTGTGACGAGGAACTCTGGCATCCAGCAGTCTCCAGCCAGAAGCTCCAGCTACTCGGAGGCCAACGAGGCTGAGGTACAGCTCCCCAACAGCAGCAAGAGTCTGTCCATGGTAGACCTGCAGGACAGCCGCAGCCTGGAGAGTACCCCTGGCCCTGCCTCCCCCAGCGACATGCTCTTCAACGACAGCCAGTTCCCAGTCACCCCTGGGCCTGGGGGCTGGGCCGCCCGCACCCCTCAGGGCATCATACCCACTCCCGGCCCCGGGCCCACTCTGAGGAGGACAGGCCAGACCCCCAACACCCCCAGCACAGAGAGCAGCACCCCAGGCCCAGGGAGGCCCTCACAGCTCCTGGCCCCACTCTCCTTCCAGAACCCTGTTTACCAGATGGCCACGGGGATGACCATAAGCGTTTCCCCGCGGGGTCCCCTGGCCGACTCGGGCTCCGATGGCCACAGCTCCGTCAGCTCTCAGGGCAACAACACAGAGGACACCCCCAAGCACCCGGGGGTCTTCCTCACCCAGGGGGTGGCGGTCAGTAGCGGAGGAGGCAGCAGCAGTGAGTTCACCACCCGCCGCCAGCTGTCCCTCGGGGAGCACCAGCCCAACGTGCCGCGGCAGAACAGCGCCGGCCCCCAGCGCAGGATAGACCAGCCCCCTACGCCCGTCACCAGGGGCAGGACGCCGCCCAACATGCTCCAGACAGCCTACCCTGGGCCGCGGCCCTCCAGCGGCAGCATTATGTCATCATCCCCCGACTGGGGGCCCAGTGGCGGCAACCGTCTGAGACAGCAGTCGTCCTTTTCCAAAGGGGACAGTCCTGAGACCAAGCAGCGCACCCTGCACAAAGTGAGTAGAGCATGTAACATCATGTGGTGTGGTTGGGGGGGGGGGGGGGGATCACTGTTATCCTGGACAGACACTGTGTCTGCAGGCTTGTATTAGGAATGTAGGTCACTCTAATATACAGTGGGGAGAACAAGTATTTGATACACTGCCGATTTTGCAGGTTTTACTACTTACAAAGCATGTAGAGGTCTGTAATTTTTATCATAGGTACACTTCAACTGTGAGAGACGGAATCTAAAACAAAAATCCAGAAAATCACATTGTATGATTTTTAAGTAATTAATTTGCATTTTATTGCATGACATAAGTATTTGATCACCTACCAACCAGTAAGAATTCCGGCTCTCACAGACCTGTTAGTTTTTCTTTAAGAAGCCCTCCTGTTCTCCACTCATTACCTGTATTAACTGCACCTGTTTGAACTCGTTACCTGTATAAAAGACACCTGTCCACACACTCAATCAAACAGACTCCAACCTCTCCATAATGGCCAAGACCAGAGAGCTGTGTAAGCACATCAGGGATAAAATTGTAGACCTGCACAAGGCTGGGATGGGCTACAGGACAATAGGCAAGCAGCTTGGTGAGAAGGCAACAACTGTTGGCGCAATTATTAGAAAATGGAAGAAGTTCAAGATGACGGTCAATCACCCTCGGTCTGGGGCTCCATGCAAGATCTCACCTCGTGGGGCATCAATGATCATGAGGAAGGTGAGGGATCAGCCCAGAACTACACGGCAGGACCTGGTCAATGACCTGAAGAGAGCTGGGACCACAGTCTCAAAGAAAACCATTAGTAACACACTACGCCGTCATGGATTAAAATCCTGCAGCGCACGCAAGGTCCCCCTGCTCAAGCCAGCGCATGTCCAGGCCCGTCTGAAGTTTGCTTGATCCAGAGGAGGAATGGGAGAAGGTCATGTGGTCTGATGAGACAAAAATAGAGCTTTTTGGTCTAAACTCCACTCGCCGTGTTTGGAGGAAGAAGAAGGATGAGTACAACCCCAAGAACACCATCCCAACCGTGAAGCATGGAGGTGGAAACATCATTCTTTGGGGATGCTTTTCTGAAAAGGGGACAGGACGACTGCACCGTATTGAGGGGAGGATGGATTGGGCCATGTATCGCGAGATCTTGGCCAACAACCTCCTTCCCTCAGTAAGAGCATTGAAGATGGGTCGTGGCTGGGTCTTCCATCATGACAACGACCCGAAACACACAGCCAGGGCAACTAAGGAGTGGCTCCGTAAGAAGCATCTTAAGGTCCTGGAGTGGCCTAGCCAGTCTCCAGACCTGAACCCAATAGAAAATCTTTGGAGGGAGCTGAAAGTCTGTATTGCCCAGCGACAGCCCCGAAACCTGAAGGATCTGGAGAAGGTATGGAGGAGTGGGCCAAAATCCCTGCTGCAGTCTGTGCAAACCTGGTCAAGACCTACAGGAAACGTATGATCTCTGTAATTGCAAACAAAGGTTTCTGTACCAAATATTAAGTTCTGCTTTTCTGATGTATCAAATACTTATGTCATGCAATAAAATGCAAATTAATTACTTAAAAATCATACAATGTGATTTTCTGGATTTTTGTTTTAGATTCCGTCTCTCACAGTTGAAGTGTATCTATGATAAAAATTACAGACCTCTACATGCTTTGTAAGTAGGAAAACCTGCAAAATCGGCAGTGTATCAAATACTTGTTCTCCCCACTGTATCTACTGCTGTACATATCATTCTTAGTATATCTTGTGTCAATTAATCCAGTGTATATACGTAGAGATTGCATTTGGATTACTGTTAGTGCTATTTGGGTTGTTAATTGGATTCGTTCCGACATAATAAAAAAAAAAATGTTGGTGTACTTGTTTGACATTTTACTGCATTGTTAGGAACTAGTAACATAAGCATTTAGCTGCACTCGCTATAACATTTGCTAAACTGTGTACGGGACCAATAAACTTTGATTTGATTAGTGTTGTCACGATACCAGATTTTTAAAACTTCGATACCAGGTTGAGTATCATAATACTCGATACTGAAACGATATTCAATTACAAAACGATACTCAATACCAAAACGATACCATGGCAAAAAAATTGAAATCTTATTAGCTAAAGTCACAGAATAACCACTGGGCTTTATTTTGTTTAAACATTGAACAAAATGTTGATAACTTGTAGAACAAATAGAATATCTTCTATTCTATATTAAATTATGTTGCAAAAATAAAACACCATATTAAAAAACTGAAGAATTCCTTCAAACCATATCGGAGACTCAGAGCAGACAAAATAATTGTACAATTACATCTAAATTGTTTTAAAATGTAATTCGATACATATCAGAGTTAATTTGCCAAAATATTGGGTCAAATGACATTCATTAGACTCATAATTCATTACAGTTAAATAATTGGATGTAGTAAATGAGTAGTTTAGTTACAAAATGACATGAAAAACACTTTGAAACTCATTTCTGAAGCTTCTATATTACAATAGTCTACACGCCATAGAAATACAATGGAATTTACACAATATACTACGATTTGTAGAGTGCATTTCACTTCCCAGGCTGCAATGCTCTGCCCAGGACTGGCTGGCTAGTGGCTACTGGCCACTGCTAGCAAGCGCAGACAAACGCAAAGTAGTCTAAATATATTGCTATCAAGTTATGAGTGCGTTTCACCTTACTTTTGGGTTGTGTAATCATATTATAATCCTCACATGAATGTCATGCTGAATATACACTGAGTGTACAAAACATTAAGAACACCTTACTAATATTGAGTTGCACCCCTTCTTTTGCCCTCAGAACAGCCTCAATTCGTTGGGACATGAACTCTACGAGGTGTCGAAAGCGTTCCACAGGGATGCTGACCCATGTTGACTCCAATGCTTCCCACAGTTGTGTGAAGTTGGCTGGATATCCTTTGGGTGGTGAACCATTCTTGATTCACACGGGAAAATGTTGAGCGTGAAAAACCCAGCAGCGTTGCAGTTCTTGACACAAACCGGTGCGCCTGGCACCTACTACCATACCCTGTTCAAAGGCACTTAAATATTTTTGTCTTGCCCATTCACCCTCTGAATGGCACACATACACAATCCATATCACAATTGTCTCAAGGTTTAAAATCCTTCTTTAACTTGTCTCCTTCTCCTACCCTGGTTGAAGTGGATTTAGCAAGTGACATCAATAGCTTTCACCTGGATTCACCTGGTCAGTCTGTCATGGAAAGGCATTTGTCCTTAATGTTTTGTACACTCAGTGTATGTTCATGTCATTGTCAGTCAAAAATCATTCAAATTTAGTAGAATAACGACAACATTACAATGCAAATGGCATGTGTAAAATAGTGTTTTTTATGTGGTTTTGAATCGAAACCTCCCTTGCACTGCTTTGCAACACCTTTTGCTTAGTAGTTTAGGTGGGCTGGCCCTCATATTCCCATAGTTCGCTTCTGCAGCCAGTGTTGTCAACAAGCTGTGGGCGTGGAGGTATGATGTTTTCGTTTGAAGAAGCCATACTGTCTGCATTTTCTCTCTCTTGCTTGCACTGTGTCGGCTGCCTGGCTAGCTACTGCCCCCTTGAGAAGATTCAGACAGATTACTAGACAGACTCGATCCTCTCAATCCGTATATGAAGTGAGACACATTTGACAGAAGTATTGAAAGTACCAAACCGTTTTTCATGTTCTAGTATTGAATAAGTACCGAAGTTTCGGTATACCGTGCAACACTAGATTTGATAAGCTCTTGGTTGAGTAACCACTTAATATCTATCTGGCCAGAGTTTGGATTGCATTGTACTAGGTGCTGCAGGTAGGAAATTAGATTCTGATGAGGAGTAACTCTCCATAACCAATGGCTGAACTTCAGAATAATAATACACACAGCCAAGCCCATTAGCATTGCTAGCTTAACTTCATCTGTGGCCTTGAGGGATGAGCCAGGCAGGATATGACCTCGGTGGAGGTCTCCAGCTCACAGTCACTGTGGTTGGTGGAGACAGTATGGATTTAATGCCCAATTGGCCTCAATAAGCATTAATAACACTCAGCCTCACTAAGCCAATAGCAAATCACCCAGGGCAGTGAGTCCAGAGGCGGTACCCTACAGGCCTCAGTGCTGATGCCTGCGAATGGACTAGACAGGCAGAATTAATTGTGACTATGGACGTAGTGGTTATTAAATGCCTGTTCCACTCAACTAAATCAGTTTTGTCTGTGGTCTGAATAAACCCTCATTATTAACAGATGGAGCATTTACCAGCTAAACACAACTGCACCCCTCTCCTTGGTAATATTTAGGATCAAAACAAGTTCCACGCTGTATTTGGGTCTCTCTCTCTGTGGGTTTGTGGTGGTCGCCAGGTCCCAGCCAGAGTAGGAGGGTTTTTTTAGGGAACGCACCAGGGGGCAGGTGAAAAGACGGGTTTAACATATAGACTAACTGAACCATTTCGCTATTAAACAAATAAATTCCTTCAATTATTAAAATCTTCTTTATCAAGGTTTTAGAGACTTGATACCAAGCTCTCGTGATTCCTTACTAAGATTAACATGGACAATTCACCAATGCAAAACAACCAACCCTGTGCCTTCCCCTTGCTTCACCCTTGTTCCTCTGATCCCCCCCTAGCTGAATACACTGGCTCTGCTCTACTCCACAGTAGACACAGGCTCTGCTCTACTCCTCAGTAGACACTGGCTTCCCATTGAAGGGATGGGAATGAGTACTCGAATACTCGAACAGACGTCAAAGCTCCATCTTTAACCCATTTTTTTTCATTTGCTTTGAATCTGGTGTTCCATTTGTACAAAATGAAACTAATCATCACACTGTTCTTTTCCCTAAATTCCCTTTCCCCTCCGTGTCTTATTCACTCAATTGCAGCATTCCAACCGCTCCCTCCACACACACACACAAGCTCCCGCTAGGCCTACTGAAATAAATGCCTATAAAAATATATCTAACTGATGGGAAACACAAGCTACATTCCTTGCCAAATGATGACAGTTTTATCACAAATCCAAAATGGACTGGTTGATTGAAGTAGGAAAATATGTGTTCTAACACCGAGCTACAGTTTTTGAATAATTGCGTCGCATCTATTTTACGCTTAAGCTACTTTGCGAACTGCTAATGCCATTTAGAGTTGGTTAGCCTAGACTATAACCCCCCTAAACATAGACAGGTTCCACACTGACAATATGCAAAAACATTAGTTTGATAAAGAGCGTATTTTCATCAGAATCATTAAGCATATGCCTACTCACCAAACAGATTTCGTGGCCGTAATTCATCACATGCAGTGTTCAATGTGGAATTGTTCATTTTGAAAATTCCAAAGAAGAGGCAGATTAAACTAAATCGAACGTCTGTATATCGAAAAGAAGACAAATGTTGGTTTCTAACCCAGATGTATTTTCTTCTTTCAACTCAACCAAATTGAGCCCCGTTTCAAATTGTCACTCTGAGAATACTGTAACTGCTCCAGGCATGAGATGCTCATCACTTCAAACTGGTAACTTTATTCATTTGGAAAAATAGTCTGTTTCTATTTTATTCTGTTAGATTACGTCATGTTTTTTAAAACTATAAAATAGGTGTGTCTTGACTGTGATAAGGGCTCGGGAAATAAGAGCGTCTGTCTGCTAAATTAACAAAACAAGGCTATGCCATTGCACAGCCATAGGTTTCTACAAGCAAGCGCCACTGCTGAGGTTACAGCCTTTTTGAAGATTGTGTTCCACGATATAATACAATAACAAGTTGATATTACGGTTTCAATAAATTAATCTTAAATGGCACTTGCTTTTTTATTGAGGCAATTAAGCAATTAGGATTTGTTATCTGTAATAGTAATGGTAAATTAGGCATTGTTGGCATATAGATAAATGCGCACATATTTTCAGTTCGAGTACTCGAAAAAGAGTCCTATTGTAGCTTGTGATTTTCATCATGCAACATTTATTTACCCTGCCGCACTTCTTCTAATCATTACTTACCAGAAGGGGTGTGTGTGTGTGTGTGTGTGTGTGTGTGTGTGTGTGTGTGTGTGTGTGTGTGTACACGTGCGTGCTTTTTGTGTGTGTTCCACCAGGTGCCCTCCCCTGTGAACCCCAATGCCCTGGACCGCACTGCTGCTTGGCTGTTGAATATGAATGTGCAGTATTTAGACCAAGAGGGAGTTGACCCAGATACCAAGCACAGGGAAGACCTCCGAAACAAAGAGGAGCTCACCCAGACTGAAAAGGTAATGTCTAGCGCAACATCACAACACCATTCAGCACAGCTACAACATCACAACACCATTCAGCACAGCTACAACATCACAACACCATTCAGCACAGCTACAACATCACAACACCATTCAGCACAGCTACAACATCACAACACCATTCAGCACAGCTACTCTACTTCTTTACAGGGGTGTTATTGATGAAGTGAAAGCAAAGACCGGGCCGAGGTAATGGATCTCTCCCTACTAGCAGGTCTTCCATGATTTGAATTTGTGGATATTAAAGGGTTATTTGCTGCTTAAGTGGAAAGAAAAATGATACTGTGTGCAGAGAGAAGTACCATGATATACTGTATACTGGTGGTGTAATTATACTACAGTATACGAGTTGAATTAGCCTCTCTATTCTGACATTGTTGAAATATAGGTAGACTGCCAGGTGTAGGTTGACGTTTATTGTCATGAATCTTGCCCTGGAGGCAGAGCTGAGTGATTTTCTGCTAGATGGGCCAGATGCAAAGTCAAAATTGGCTATGTTATAAATATTCATGAAAACTAAAATGTGCTTTTGGTCTTAATTTAAGGTTAGGGTTAGCAGTGTGGTTAAGGTTAGGGTTAGCAGTGTGGTTAAGGTTAGGGTTAGCAGTGTGGTTAAGGTTAGGGTTAGCAGTGTGGTTAAGGTTAGGGTTAGCAGTGTGGTTAAGGTTAGGGTTAGCAGTGTGGTTAGGGTTAGCAGTGTGGGTAAGGTTAGGGTTAGATTTTGTGGCTGTGCCAGCTAGATCACTCTGCAGAGCTGCCTCCAGGGCAGGATTCATGACAATAAATGCCAATCTGCTAGATGGGTATAGGCTGAGTGTGCCCTCCCCTCTCTCTGCCAATTTCCCTAGCTACTCCAATTAATTATACACCAGCAACATATTGCACTCGAACACACTTATCAGCGAAACATACACGGACACGTTTTCATCACACACAAATTCATGGCTTTCAATTTCTAGATGTTTTTAAGGTGTTTTAGTGATCATTTCACCTCTGCCAAAGTGAGAACCAAACACTTTCCTTTTTAAGTGATAATGATGATTCTTACAAATCCAACTTCTGTTAATTATTTTGGACAATTACTACCCGTAAATGCCCATTATAATGTCCTTAGTTGAAGTTAGTTGAAGGGCTCTTTAATCTTTGTATTAAACAGACAGAATACAGTACTCAGTGCTAGAATATTATATTTGAAGAATTAGGCATATTTCAATCACTATGGTTTTAGACCAGGTACTGTCTACTGTATGGTTTCTATGGAGCCTAGTTAGTACATTACGCAACAGCAGTGTCGGGAATGTCATTCTAAGTAGAAATAAAATCCCTGCATCTTAAATCCCATTTTACTTTTTTTAATAGCTTGTTAAACGCTGTAGGATGTATTATTTTCATCAATCTGTTTGAGATTCACTTGCTTGCAGAGACAGTAGAAATGTACCTGAAAGCTTTGCAGGATCCCACATTTGAACCCGGGCCGGCGTTTCATAGCATGACTAGGAGCTTTGACTTGATTGTGAACCTGAGTTTTCATCCATACACTTGCATTAGCATACACTGTACATTACAGTAGTTACTCCACAGAGGATGGTAAGACTACTCTTCTGTCAGCAGTTGAGTCCAAGAAAAACAGAAGCATATCAAACCCAACGACAAACTGTCTCATAGCCCACTGAATGGGAGCTGCTTTGGGAATGACAAGTGTGTGTGCGTGCGACACTGGTCTGTCACTGACTCCCAACTGCCACTCTGTCCTGTGCCCAGTACCAGCAGGAAATCGCCATCCTGCAGGACAAGCTGTGTCAGTCAGCCAAGAAGCTGGAGGAGTATGAGTGTCACCTTAACGGCCAGGACGAGCAGACCCAGACGATGCTGCTGGAGTACCAGGCGCGCCTGGAGGACACGGAGGAGCGCCTGCGCCGGCAGCAGGACGACAAGGAGCTCCAGATGAAGAGCATCATCACCAGGTGAGGTGTCCTCTACCTACCAGTGGAGACTGGTGTCACTTTAAATCGGAGCAAAAGATGTGTACATCATCTAATGTGCAAAAGATGATGTACAAATAGAGATACTGGGGTGAAAATGAGCAAAATAAATAACAATATGGGGATGAGGTAGTTGGGTGGGCTAATTTCAGATGGGCTGTGTACAGGTGCAGTGATCGGTAAGCTGCTCTGACAACTGATGCTTAAAGTTAGTGAGGGAGATAAGTGTCTCCAGCTTCAGAGATTTTTGCAATTCGTTCCAGTCATTGGCAGCAGAGAACTGGAAGGAATGGCGGCCAAAGGAGGTGTTGGCTTTGGGGATGACCAGTGAGATATACTTGCTGGAGCGCATACTACGGATGGGTGTTGCTATGGTGACCATTGAGCTAAGATAAGGCGGGGATTTGCCTAGCAGTGATTTATAGATGGCCTGGAGCCAGTGGGTTTGGCGACGAATATGTAGTAAGGACCAGCCAACAAGAGCGTACAGGTCACAGTGGTGGGTAGTATATGGGGCTTTGGTGACAAAACGGATGAACTGTCAACTATGGACTTTGTCATTTGGTCCTGGTTTTGTGTACAACTGTGTTTTTAATGTCTCACATTTATTTGTTCTGTTGTCTGTGCTATGCATCGAGAAGATAAATGTGATCTTTTTAACATCACTGTAAAAAATTTAAAAAGTAGTGAGTGCATACATTTTCATACTTTTTTTGTACTGGTCCCTGTGGGAATCGAACCCACAACCCTGGCGTTGCAAGTGCCATGCTCTACCAACTGAGCTACACGGGACCAGTCAATCAATCAACAACTCCAGCCATCAGTACAGACATATCTTTGTTACTCTTTCAGGCTGATGTCTGTTGAGGAGGAACTGAAGAAAGATCATTCAGATATGCAGTCGATAGTGGACTCAAAACAGAAGATCATTGAAGCCCAGGTGAGTGCTTAGTGTCCACACGAGATGTTTTGCCTGGCAAGATATGTTTTTTCCACAACTGTAAATAGAAAGTATTTACTCAAATATTGTATTCACAGATTTACTGTAACATGTCAGACTACAGACTTGAAGAGAACAGCGCCCTCTGGCGTTATAAATGTTAACAACCTACTCAGATTGAAAATGATAGGTGTCACTCACTGCAAACAATCCAGCCACTGGAATTACTGTAACAAGTACAGAATGTACTGTATGTGGACATTCTACGTTTTTACTTCAGCAACATTCCCTTTCTGTTTACAATAGTGGCTGCTTGTTTTGTTTAAGTCATGTTGGTTTGCTGAGAAGCTGTAGTACAGTCCATCAGAGCCATGTTATGAAGGATTCATTGGATTGTGTGGCGACAACCCTCCTCTTCTCTACCTCCCTCCTTCCTTCTCTACCTCCCTCCTTCCTTCTCTACCTCCCTCCTTCCTTCTCTACCTCCCTCCTTCCTTCTCTACCTCCCTCCTTCCTTCTCTACCTCCCTCCTTCCTTCTCTACCTCCCTCCTTCCTTCTCTACCTCCCTCCTTCCTTCTCTACCTCCCTCCTTCCTTCTCTTCCTCCATCCTTCTATATTCCTCCTCACTTTGCAGGAGAAACACATCGCGTCTCTGGACGCGGCCAACGCCCGCCTGATGAGCGCTCTGACCCAGCTGAAGGAGCGCTACAGCATGCAGACCCGTAACGGCATCTCCCCTACCAACCCCACCAAGCTCCAGATCACGGAGAACGGAGAGTTCAGGAACAGCAGCAACTGCTAGGGAGAGGAGAGGGGGCCAAGCCCAACTCAATGACGCTTGGGCAGGAGGAGGGAGGAGGAACTAGCCACACCCAGCCACTCTCCAGAGAAACAGAATTATACTGTACAAATCCATTATTTTCAATGGATGAGGTCAGGATCACAGAAAGAAGGCAGACTGACTGAAGCTGTTGCTGAAAAATATAAAGGACTTGATCAGATTGACTTTAGAGAAAGCTATAACGTCTACACCTGACTGCAAGACATCCTAAACTCTGTATCCCAGTACATAAAACAACATTTTATCTATTTAAGGTTGTGCTGTTATTTAACAAAGAGCCTGTTTTGAAGTGATTTGAACCATTATAAGCTTCAGAATGTTTCTGATTTCTCATCTACACGTATCATTTTCAGTCACTGCGTTGATATAGCACAGGGTGCTAAAAGAGGACGCTCTTTTATGGACCCTACGTTTTCAGAATGCTCTATATTCCACTGACCTTTAGTAAACAGAATAAATACTATAATACTCAAAGCCAGCCTGTTTCTTCCAGCAACAGTATAGTATAGCACAAGTGTATAGTACATTGTAGCAGCAATCTTTGATTTTACTCAATGGCTGTTTTTTTTTACCCCACTGTTTTTGTTTCAAACTTCAAAAGCACACAGTATATGTTGCCAAGTGAACACCTCTATCAGTGAAAGCCTCCTCTCATGTTGACAAGCTTTTGAAAACCGCTTTGGTTAGACTTTTCCTGAAAGCACGTCCCAATAGCAAGTGTTTCTATATTCTACCTGTATATTTTAGGTATCCTCTGCTTTTCTTACCTCATCAGGACTACAGTAGCACAACAAGCTTGCTGTATTTTAAATTGCTAATGGTAAGGAAAGAGCTCAACTATATAATTTTTTGCATACTTTGTATGTGCTTAAATATGAGTATATTTAGAGGTTTACATGCCTCGTAGATGTATATAAAATGTTCACAGTATTTGTATTGATTGTTTGGAAGGGGAATAGTATTTTGTACTGTAAGTGTTCATTGTGTTAAACGGCTGTGCTAATATTGCAAGACAATAGTACGTTTCTGATTGTAATTTTGGTTCTACTTCAGTAGACAGTTCACACCATTTCATCCATTATCCCCTTTTCTTATGTGGGTTCTTTGTTAAAAATGCAATTTAACATAGTTTACTGTTTTGTCCTCTGTGTATCTAAATGGTTATGTGTAGGCCAAACCTTCACTGTTTGCAGTTTGACAGTGCTGAATGGAATAAGACTGAACTCAAATACCTGGCTACTCCTCTACCCTTGCGCTTCTGGAACTTAGCTAACGGCCCTACACAACGCTCCTTAATTTAGAATACCTTCTATCCAAAGTGAAGCATGAAAGTCGCTTCCGGACAGTACGTCCACATGGGGTTTTAGGCTGTAATTGAGGTATATACCAGATTCATTGTCAGTTCCAGTTCCCTCTAGTGTTGATTGAAGCTATAAACATGGAGTGGACTTAAGGCCTTTTGTGTAGTCTTATTTAAGATGCAGGTAGCTAACTTTAGCAACCTTCAAAGGTGGTCTCAACAAGTGGCTTTGCATGACTTCTCAATTCTGACTTCCGCTAATTCTCATCTGAAAACACCAGTGGTCTGCTTTCAGGAAATTAGAGGCACCTGAATCACTGTGTTGACCTGTGTTCTGGTCTGTGGAAATGTTAAGCTTAAATGTTTTTTGTGTTTTTTATCAACTAGATTATTATTTTTAAAATTATGTGTGAAATGGTATTTATGTTATGCTCTAAATTATGTTTGTTCCAATCAGTTCAACATTATTTATTGAATATCTTTGTTTTTTGTTTTAATAAAATGCTGAATAGTATTTGTGAGAGTATAATGGATTGTGTTATAGAACACCTGCATTCTGATAGAATTGTGCTCCTATTTCCCTGAAGTGGTCTTGCTGCAGTCCAACCTGCACACTCATGAGAAAATCTCTTTGGAGGGTTTCAATAGATTTTCTCTTTCAAAGCGAAAGGTGCATCTTCCTGCTTTGGTGTTCTTTTATTGAAAGGACATCCTATATACTGCACTGCCATAGAAACCATAGATCAATTCACAGTATAGTGCATCTTCATTGTCTCCCAGGTCTTTTAGGAAGGTTTTGCCAATGATTTGCCAGAGAGTGACCAAAACTATTATCTTTCCCTTTTCAATGCCCTATATAATACTGAACAATATTTTGTCATGTTACTGCAAACTCCTAGAAACTTTTCTATGAATGTTAAAATAATAATTTGATGTGTGTAAATGGTAACAAGAACAGGCCTATCATCGTAAAATATAAAAACATGTATGTAATTTATGTAGAAATGCAACTACAATTAAAGATTTTGCTATTTTAATCATGTAGTGTTTCTCATGTGGTGTTTATTTTAACAAACATTCTGAAATGCTGTCATTGATCAGTGACATTTATATAAATATCACCACCCAGTGGTATAAAGCAAGTACAGTTATTAAATAATTAGTATGCACAAAACAAGCAGCAGGCAAACTTGGTTGAAAGGATGTCAACAAGAAACCAGAAACTAATGACATCACTTGTCCTCTGGGATTAATCTAGAAATAATACAGATCCCACTCTCCTAGTGTGTCTCAAGGAGAGTTGGGCGGCAGGTAGCGTAGTGGGTAAGAGCGTTGTGCCAGTAACCGAAAGGTCGCTGGTTCTAATCCCCGAGCCTCCTAGGTGAAAAATCTGTCGATGTGCCCTTAAGCAAGGCACTTAACCCTAATTGCTCCTGTAAGTCGCTCTGGATAAGAGCGTCTGCTAAATGACTAAAATGTAAAATGATATGAAAAAAAAAAAAAAAAAAGCATTCATATTAATACACACTTGTAGGTACCACCGGCAGGTTAAGAGCATTGGGCCAGTAACCGAGCCGACAAGGTGATAGTCTGTCTGGGCCGTTGAGCAAGGCACTTAACCCTAATTGCTCCAGGGTCGCCGTCAATAATGGCTGATCCCTGGCTGTGGCCCCACTCTCCAAGGGTCTCAGTGGGATATGCAAAAAAACGACATTCCAATTCATATGTGAAATAGGACAAATATAAACACCCATTGACCAAAACACACTTAGATCATTGAAAGAGACTCCAGATTCTCATCTAGACTGTTATTGCTCTGATCCCTGTCTGGAAGGTGGGCTGTTGACCAGACATCATCCCAGGGGGGGGAGGGTAATATAGTCCAGAATATTTCTGATAGCCCTCATATGCAGCCTGTGGGAACTCCGACAGTTCAACTGGCCTCTTCCTTCTCCGCAGCAGCAGACACATTGCACATGTCATCCAGTGGGGTACACATCACACACCTACCTCAGCACACACTCTGACAGAGAGCAAACACCTTTTATAGTTCTGCTACTTCTACCGCCGAAGGTCTCTGATCTCAATCAGTTTGAACATTCAGGACACGGCTTTCAATGATAAATCCCTTACATGTCTTATTAAGGTCAGTATTTTCATTTTCAAGGAGAGTTTGGGGTCTCTGCCTAGTATGTTGTCAAGCAGATGTACTTCCCTTGCCCCAAGATGTATTTTGTTCAGTTACCCTAAGGAGAAATGATAACATGAGACATATAAGGATAGGTTGTGAAGTCAAATCAATTCTGTCTGTATATTAGAGCTAATTAATCTGTTGTAAAAGAAGTGTTAAGACAGGAAAATATGAAAACAGTATCTCACTGTTTGCAATCCCAGGACTCATCTTAAACAACAATCATTACTGTATTCTGAATCATGTCATATTGCATTCGATTCCCTTAGCTAAATCCAGAAAATCCAGAAAATCACATTGTATGATTTTTAAGTAATTCATTTGCATTTTATTGCATGACATAAGTATTTGATACATCAGAAAAGCAGAACTTAATATTTGGTACAGAAACCTTTGTTTGCAATTACAGAGATCATACGTTTCCTGTAGGTCTTGACCAGGTTTGCACACACTGCAGCAGGGATTTTGGCCCACTCCTCCATACAGACCTTCTCCAGATCCTTCAGGTTTCGGGGCTGTCGCTGGGCAATACGGACTTTCAGCTCCCTCCATAGATTTTCTTGTGGGTTCAGGTCTGGAGACTGGCTAGGCCACTCCAGGACCTTGAGATGCTTCTTACGGAGCAACTCCTTAGTTGCACTGGCTGTGGGTTTCGGGTCGTTGTCATGCTGGAAGACCCAGCCACGACCCATCTTCAATGTTCTTACTGAGGGAAGGAGGTTGTTGGCCAAGATCTCGCGATACATGGCCCCATCCATCCTCCCCTCAATACGGTGCTGTCGTCCTGTCCCCTTTGCAGAAAAGCATCCCCAAAGAATGATGTTTCCACCTCCATACTTCACGGTTGGGATGGTGTTCTTGGGGTTGTACTCATCCTTCTTCTTCCTCCAAACACGGCGAGTGGAGTTTAGACCAAAAAGCTCTATTTTTGTCTCATCAGACCACATGACCTTCTCCCATTCCTCCTCTGGATCATCCAGATGGTCATTGGCAAACTTCAGACGGGCCTGGACATGCGCTGGCTTGAGCAGGGGGACCTTGCGTGCGCTGCAGGATTTTAATCCATGACGGCATAGTGTGTTACTAATGGTTTTCTTTGAGACTGTGGTCCCAGCTCTCTTCAGGTCATTGACCAGGTCCTGCCGTGTAGTTCTGGGCTGATCCCTCACCTTCCTCATGATCATTGATGCCCCACGAGGTGAGATCTTGCATGGAGCCCCAGACCGAGGGTGATTGACCGTCATCTTGAACTTCTTCCATTTTCTAATAATTGCGCCAACAGTTGTTGCCTTCTCACCAAGCTGCTTGCCTATTGTCCTGTAGCCCATCCCAGCCTTGTGCAGGTCTACAATTTTATCCCTGATGTCCTTACACAGCTCTCTGGTCTTGGCCATTGTGGAGAGGTTGGAGTCTGTTTGATTGAGTGTGTGGACAGGTGTCTTTTATACAGGTAACGAGTTCAAACAGGTGCAGTTAGTACAGGTAATGAGTGGAGAACAGGAGGGCTTCTTAAAGAAAAACTAACAGGTCTGTGAGAGCTGGAATTCTTACTGGTTGGTAGGTGATCAAATACTTATGTCATGCAATAAAATGCAAATTAATTACTTAAAAATCATACAATGTGATTTTCTGGATTTTTGTTTTAGATTCCGTCTCTCACAGTTGAAGTGTACCTATGATAAAAATTACAGACCTCTACATGCTTTGTAAGTAGGAAAACCTGCAAAATCGGCAGTGTATCAAATACTTGTTCTCCCCACTGTATGTTATGCCACCAACCCCAGTTACCATAATAGTGTGTCACTGCAGGTCGGTCAGTCTCTAAACTGAAAATATCACAATAAAACGTACCTTCAGGTTGCATTTTGCTGGAGAAATGGCAGTAGTTCCAAAAGCTGCACATCCATCATATTGAATGATAGGCCTACTCCTTGTGCTGCGATGTCTTGTGCTCCTAAGCATGTCTTGCGTAATTATCTGTTTAGTATAAGTTAATCCTCCTGATTTTCTGGAGCATTCCAGCTCTGTCCCTTCTAAAAGACACTACAGTCTCAAGGGGTTTGAGAAGCCAGCCTGAGCGACGCACACAGAACATAACCCGGCATGACAAAAAGCAGCTCAAGGGCAATTCCATGGTAACGGAATTACTCTGATACTCTGATTCTTCACTTTAAAATGCATACCAAACAAAAAACATTGATTTCAAAGTTTAACAAACGATAGAACAAAATCTTTGTTCAAGAACTACTTTTAACAGTTTACATTTACATTTTTCCAAAAACACATTTACAGGAAGAACTGTATAGATACAACGTTTGGTAACAGAATAAAAGTGAGGAAGATTTTACTGTAATTCTGTTACCAAACTTAGCATCTCCACAGTTTTTTTTTAGGTTTGTTGTATGGTTTGTTAAACTTTGAAATCAATGGTTTTAGTTTGGCATATATTTTAAAGTCTCACTGTAATTTCATTATCGTGGAATTGCCCTCAAGTAAATACAGTGGAAGGTAGAGGGGATTTACCGTACATGTTTAGGAACTTACATATTGGGACTTATGTGCATACAAGGACTTACATACATAAACTTGGACTCATTATAAACTTTTTATAGAATCTTACATAAGCCATGTGCAATGGGGATTGCAGATGTTTGGTACGTGTAGCTCAGTTGGTAGAGCATGGCGCTTGCAACGCCAGGGTCGTGGGTTCGATTCCCACGGGGGGCCAGTATGAAAAAATGTATGCACTCACTAACTGTAAGTCGCTCTGGATAAGAACGTCTGCTAAATGACTAAAATGTAAAATGTTTGGTGAAATCAAATAAAATTTTATTGGCCACATGCGCCGAATACAACAGGTGCAGACATTACAGTGAAATGCTTACTTACAGCCCTTAACCAACAGTGCATTTATTTTTAATAAAAAAAGTAGAATAAAACAACAAAAAAGTGTTGAGAAAAAAAGAGCAAAAGTAAAATAAAATAACAGTAGGGAGGCTATATATACAGGGGGGTACCGGTGCAGAGTCAATGTGTGGGGGCACCGGCTAGTTGAGGTAGTTGAAGTAATATGTACATGTGGGTAGAGTTAAAGTGACTATGCATAAATAATTAAAAGTAGCAGCAGCATAAAAAGATGGGGTGGGGGGGGCAGTGCAAATAGTCCGGGTAGCCATGATTAGCTGTTCAGGAGTCTTATGGCTTGGGGGTAGAAGCTGTTGAGAAGTCTTTTGGACCTAGACTTGGCACTCCGGTACCGCTTGCCATGCGGTAGCAGAAAGAACAGTCTATGACTAGGGTGGCTGGAGTCTTTGACAATTTTGAGGGCCTTCCTCTGACACCGCCTGGTATAGAGGTCCTGGATGGCAGGAAGCTTGGCCCCAGTGATGTACTGGGCCGTACGCACTACCCTCTGTAGTGCCTTGCGGTCGGAGGCCAAGCAGTTGCCATACCAGGCGTGATGCAACCAGTCAGGATGCTCTCGATGGTGCAGCTGTATAATTTTTTGAGGATCTGAGGACCCATGCCAAATTTTTTCAGTCTCCTGAGGGGGAATAGGCTTTGTCGTGCCCTCTTCACGACTGTCTTGATGTGTTTAGACCATGATAGTTTGTTGGTGATGTGGACACCAAGGAACTTGAAGCTCTTAACCTGTTCCACTACAGCCCCGTCGATGAGAATGGGGGCGTGCTCAGTCCTCTTTTTTTTTCCTGTAGTCCACAATAATCTCCTTTGTCTTGGTCACGTTGAGGGAGAGGTTGTTATCCTGGCACCACACGACCTCCTCCCTATAGGCTGTCTCATCGTTGTCGGTGATCAGGCCTACCACTGTTGTGTCGTCTGCAAACTTAATGATGGTGTTGGAGTCGTGCCTGGCCATGCAGTCATGGGTGAACAGGGAGTACAGGAGGGGACTGAGCACGCACCCCTGAGGGGCCCCCGTGTTGAGGATTAGTGTGGCAGATGTGTTGTTACCTACCCTTACCACCTGGGGGCGGCCCGTCAGGAAGTCCAGGATCCAGTTGCAGAGGGAGGTGTTTAGTCCCAGGATCCTTAGCTTAGTGATGAGCTTTGAGGGCACTATGGTGTTGAATGCTGAGCTGTAGTCAATGAATAGCATTCTCACGTAGGTGTTCCTCTTGTCCAGGTGGGAAAGGGCAGTGTGGAGTGCAATAGAGATTGCATCATCTGTGGATCTGTTGGGGCGGTATGCAAATTGGAGTGGGTCTAGGGTTTCTGGGATAATGGTGTTGATGTGAGCCATGACCAGCCTTTCAAAGCACTTCATGGCTACAGACGTCAGTGCTACGGGTCGGTAGTCATTTAGGCAGGTTATCTTAGAGTCCTTGGGCACGGGGACTATGGTGGTCTGCTTGAAACATGTTGGTATTACAGACTCAGTCAGGGACATGTTGAAAATGTCAGTGAAGACACTTGCCAGTTGGTCAGCACATGCTCAGAGTACACTTCCTGGTAATCCGTCTGGCCCTGCGGCCTTGTGAATGTTGTCCTGCTTAAAAGTCTTACTCACATCGGCTACGGAGAGCGTGATCACATAGTCATCTGGAACAGCTGGTGCTCTCATGCATGCTTCAGTGTTGCTTGCCTCGAAGCGAGCATAGAAGTGGTTTAGCTCGTCTGGAAGTCTTGTGTCACTGGGCAGCTCGCGGCTGTGCTTCCCTTTGTAGTCTGTAATAGTTTTCAAGCCCTGCCACATCCGACGAGCGTCAGAGCCGGTGTAGTACGATTTAATCTTAGTCCTGTATTGACTCTTTGCCTGTTTGATGGTTCGTCGGAGGGCATAGCGGGATCTCTTATAAGCGTCCGGGTTAGGGTCCCGCTCCTTGAAAGTGGCAGCTCTACCCTTTAGCTCAGTGCGGATGTTTCCTGTAATCCATGGCTTCTGGTTGGGGTATGTACGTATGGTCACTGTGGGGATGACATCATCGATGCACTTATTGATGAAGCCAGTGACTGATGTGGTGTACTCCTCAATGCTATCTGAAGAATCCCGGAACATGTTCCAGTCTGTGCTAGCAAAACAGTCATGTGGCTTAGCATCTGCGTCATCTGACCACTTTTTTTATTAACCGAGTCACTGGTGCTTCCTGCTTAAGTTTTTGCTTATAAACAGGAATCAGGAGGATAGAGTTATGGTCAGATTTGCCAGATTTGCCAAATGGAGGGCGAGGGAGAGCTTTGTATGCGTCTCTGTGTGTGGAGTAAAGGTGGTCTAGAGTTTTTTTTCCTCTGGTTGCACATTTAACATGCTGGTAGAAATTAGGTAGAACGGATTTAAGTTTCCCTGCATTAATGTCCCCAGCCACTAGGAGCGCTGCTTCTCAGAATTCTCTGTGCATACTATTTTCTGTGGTTCAATGTGTGTAGCAAAAAGAGGACGGAGAGTAAAGAACACCTGACATGAATATAATCATCCAGAATGGTGCAGATATGTTACAAGTAGGGCTGATATGATTCCCTATTAAACATATCTGTTCTACGCCTGTATCTGAATGTTCTGTGGCTATGCCACACCAAAATATGAATGTTTTCTGTTTGCTTTGATCAGGGTTGACATGTTTTCATCAATCATCACTAGAGTGGTACAGTAATAAGGTCAAGAGAGACTAATATAAATAAATAAAATGTCTTCACCTGTCCTGGATGAAAAATTAGCTGTACTTTAGAAAGTGTAAGCCGTGCCTTCAGCATTTCTACAGTATGCCGTTTCAGCTTTGTCCTTTTCTAGTATTTCTGTATCAGGGCCAGCCACACTCTTCAAAGATGGAACAGCTTATTTAATGTGAAGATGTGTGTCCCCTTTGGATAGTCAAAAAGAATAAGCAAGAATAATTCAGAACTAGTCTAATGCTCCTAAATATTTATTAGCATCACAACCTACTGGACAATATTTGGATTGTTTCCCTTTTGTTGAATTTAATGTGATAAAAGCACTACATTGACATAGCAGATGGGTTTGGTACAGTCATATGTAAATCCTTACAGTGTATGATCACTAATCTACACAGAGCTAAATGACCAAGGTCGTGTTCAGCAGAGGAAATGGAAGAAAGAGTGATACGGGTCAGTACTGTCCAATGAAAATGTTTGTTTTCGTTTAAAATTCGAAAAAAAAAATGTTGCTACAGTGTGCCCTAATGAACAGGACCCACCAAACTACACAGAGCTCACCAGACTCATTTGCCTCCAGCAGTAATAGCCAGCAAGCTGTTTGTCCTCTTCATAATGTTGGGTACAAAGAGCAGTCCTGAGGCTCTCTCGATGCTCTCAATGGGCACAAGAAAGCGCTCCAGAGGAATCTTGTTATCCACAGGTGTGTTGGGCATCACATACGAGCGCAGCTCCACCTCTCCCCTCTGCTTCTCCAGGATCACCACTTTGAAGAAATGGGTGGGGACCGCCACATTGTTCCTCCCCATCACCTGGTACTTCACATACATTTTCCCATCTGGTTCCAGTCTATAGGCAGAGAGAAGGAACAGTTACAACTTCTGTATCATTCTCACCATGGACCCCATTCACACAGATCCTGATGCTTGCATAATGCCTGTTTGCTAAAGCAGATCACTGTGTGAATGGCGTTTAAGATGGCAACACTGAAAAATACCATTATGTTTCTTATGGAAATCTCTGTTTCAGATAACACTCACCTGGGCAGGTAAAGTGGTCCAGTGCACACAAACACATTCATGTAGTGCTTGGTAAGTGAACGGCAGTACTTCTCCAAGTTGTTCCATGCATTTTGATTTAAGTTTGGGTTCTAGGGGAAGACGAGGTAAATGAAAGAAACTTGATTATCTTGAACAGCCATTCATTGATTCCTGCTCTTTGCTCTGGAAGTGTAGCTACATGGGATTCAGAAGCCTTTTTGACTCATCATTATTTTTTTTAGGGTTTTAAACTGCAAGGGCACACTTATATTGCCACCTTAACCACTCGCACACTGTGTAACACACTTATTCATCTTCACATTGACAAATATGCCATGTTTCCCCACAATACATGACTTACCTGTGGTGAGACATTACTGAGGTAGAACGTGTCATCCATTGCCTTTTGATTCCATTTATGATTGGCAGCTGCTGCCAAATGCCCCCTGTCAAATCCACTGCCTCTGTAGTCTGCATTGGTAGCCCTGTGGTATACGTGCACCGTATCATCCTCTTTAAAGTCGCAAAATGTCCTGTCTGAAGGTCCATTCAAGCCATCAGGACTGAGTTGCTCTATAACCCATGCAGCAGTCCTGTTTCTGGGATCATAAGAAGTCACGTAGGACTCCCTCGTCTTGATATTGGTGAGAGATGGGAAGCCGTACTTCATTGCAGCTGTTGATCGGGAACCTACCATTTGACCCCCTCCTTGGTACGTGGTAAGGTCGGTTGCTGCGTCCACACTTGGAATAGGAATAACGGGTACTCGATTGAGTAATCCATGGCTCAGACTTGTGGTTCTATCGGTCGAATCTACCTTCAGAGACGCACCAATGGCTGCTCCCACAGTCAAGGACACGCCGGAGACAAACCACTTAGAACAGATAACACGATACATTTTATGCATCGGAATAATTACCACAAACTATTACCAAGTCTTTACCGCTTTTACAACAATTAGCTACATAAAAAGTTCATTTCATATCACATATTTACACATGCTCATTTATTCTTCAATACTCCCTATTCGTCGCTGTTATGGAATGGACAATGGGCGCATGGCTATGACGATTGCAGTAGCTACGTCTTAAAGGTACAGTACATAATTCTTAAAGGTACAATACAGAATTTAGTAGGCTCTAGTACAGCCTGAGCTACGGTGGCTTCAGAAAGTATTTCTATCCCTTAACTTATTCCACATTCTGTTGTTACAGCCTGAATTCAAACTTGATTAAATATATTTGTTTTCCTCACCCATCTACACACAATACCCCTTATTGACAAAGTGAAAATGTTTAGAAATTTTAGCAAATGTATTGAAAATGAAATACAGAAATATGACATTTACATAAGTATTCACCCCCATGAGTCAATACTTTGTAGAAGCACCTTTGGCTGTGATTACAGCATTGAGTCATCTTGGGTATCTGTATCAGCTTTGCACATCTGGATTTGGGGATATTCTCCCATTCTTCCTTGCAGATTTCTCTGTTAAGTTAAATGGGGAGTGGCGGTGAACAGCAATCTACAAGTCTTTCCACAGATTTTCAATAGGAATCAAGTCTGGGCTTTGGTTGGGCCACTCAAGGACTTTCACATTCTTGTTCTGAAGCCATTCCAGCGTTGCTTTGGCTGTATGCTTGGGGTCATTGTCCTGTTGGAACGTAAATCTTCTCCCTAGTCTAAGGTCGTTTGCACTCTCAATCAGGTTCTCATCAAGGATTTGCCTGTATTTGGCTCCAATCATTGTTCCCTTTATCCTTACTAGTCTCCCCTGCAGCTGAAGTATCCCCATAGCATGATGCTTCATGGGAGGGATGGTGTTAGACGGGTGCAGAGTTGTGCATGGTTTTCTCCAGACATAGCGCTTTGCATCCAGGCTAAAGAGTTACATTTTTGTCTCATCAGACCACAGAATCTTTTGCCTTATGCTCTGAGTCTTTCACATGCCTTTTTGCAAACTCCAGGCGTGCCATCATGGGCCTTTTTCTCCACTCTCCCATAAAGCCCAGATTGGTGAAGTGCTGTAGAGACTGTTGTCCTTCTGGCAGGTTCTCCCATCTCAGCCAAGGAACACTGTAGTTCTATTAGAGTGGTCATTGGGTTCTTGGTCACCTCCCTGACCAAGGTCCTTTTTGCCCGGTGGCTCAGTTTGGTCGGACGGCCAGCTCTAGGCAGAGTCTGGGTAGTTCCATATTCTTTCAATTTCCCAATGATGGAGACCACTGTGCTCTTGGAAACTTTCAACACTAGAAATTATTTCATACCCTTCCCCAGATATGTGCCTCATCACTATTCTATCTCGAAGATCTACGGACAGTTCCTTGGACTTCATGGTATAGTTTCTGCTCTGACATGCACTGTCAACTGTGGGACCTTGTATAGACAGGTGTGTTTCTTTCTACATCATGTCCAAACAATTGAATTGGCCACAGGTGGACTCCAATCAAGTTGTAGTGACGTCTCAAGGATGATCAAAGGAAATTTAATGCACTTGAACTCAATTTGGAGTGGCATAACAACAGGGTGTGAATACTTATGTAAATGAGATATTTCTGTATGTTATTTTCAATAAATTTGCAAACATTTCTAAAAACATGTTTTCACGTTGTCATTATGGGGTATTGTGTGTAGATGGGTGAGGAAACACAACAAAATGTGGAATAAGTCAAGGGGTATGAATACTTTCTGAAGGCACTGTAAACTTGTATGGCTCTGACTATACCAACAAAATGTGATAAACGCATTCAGTTTGACAAAATACATTGGTGGTGGTAGATCATCTTTAATTAATCAATTCAGTTGGTATAACATTTCTGCCTGTTGCCTTTTGTGGCCTTAAACAAAAAATTGTATTGAAAAAAGCGAACTTACAAAACAAAGTTGCAAATAATATTGGGTGTAAGAGCAAAGCAGAACAACCTGTGTTGAAAATTATTGGTATTTTACGTTTTATTAAATCCAAAACAGGTTTTTCACCCTCTACATTTTTACATGATGTTGAATTTCTGCGTTATTCTTAATGACAGAGGCCAGCCTTATGACCTTGATCTCAGGTGCATCATGACCCCTTCTGTAGTCCCATATATGTACTCAGGGGAGAGCAGCCTGGTGGGTTTGTTGTAGATAAGGTAGAGGTTGAGATGGCGCTCCTCTTGCCACGCTGCCTCTATGCCATTAACCCTGTCTCTGTCCAGGTGCTCCTGGCATGTCCTAGTCAGCTTGTGGACCTCCTCCACAGTACCTCCAAACACTGCTCCGGCATAGTAGAAGTCCCTCTCATTCAGGGGCACAAAGGATAATGAGGCAGGACTGCATTCGTAGGGGAACTTGTCCCGGCTCTCATAGTAGTAAGATAGGTGAACTGCAGCGACAAGCCGAGCGCCTCAGCTCCCCAGCGCTGGTGAAACTTCATGTCCACGTCCAGACAAAACAGGAAGTGGGCCTCTTTTCGAATCCTCTCTTCTTATATGGTTTTCTTAATGAATTCTATCCTCCTGCTAGCGTATAAACCTGGGTACCAGGATCAGGTTAAGGGACATCCCAGAGGCCAGGGGTATGGCTGGAACCTCCTGGGGTTGGTCACTGAATATATAATAGTGGACTCTGAACCCAACCAAATAGTTATACTCTGCCATCGCCAAAAATGTCCCAAGGAAGCGAATGTACCTGCCAATCAGATCAAATAAAATGTAAATAAAGTTATAAAAAGAAAAATGGGTATTATAATAAAGCAAAACCTTGAAAACAACTCACATTTGGTTTAATTCATTAGTATCTATTTACTTTCCAACAGCGAAAACCATAGTTGCTATAGTGAGGTTTTTGATACATGTTGTCAATTATGTCTGAATTGAAGGTGCTCTCCCAGATGACAGGTGCCAACCACGGCAACACTGTCAGAACGTCTGCTCCCCTGCAGTGTATGAGGAAGTCACATACAGAGAATCATGATAATAGAAAACACTATCTTCTACATTTGGCCTATTGCTTTTCTTTTTCTATTCATTTTAAGGAATTCATAATTTTATGTTTGCAAACATAGTGAATTAACTGTTACCTTGGATTCCTACATTTGGGCTGTGTGTAGACACGTCTAAAAAGAAAACAATTGATTTAATTCCAAGAATGGAAATTAGATTTTACATTACTGAAATGACATTGAATGACTCACCCATCAGGAGAGGTGACCTCTACTTTTATTTCTCCAGGTTTCTTTGACATCCATTTTCTTTCCTTGCCCAATGATCGATTGATCCCTGACTCTGAAAAATGTCAATGATGGCCATAGTGCTTGAATATTAAACATATAATTGAGTGGAAGAGACATTTGAGAAGGGAACTGGACACTCAGGGTTAATAGTATGTCCCATAGGCAGTGCTTGACTTGGACTGAAATTATATTTAGGTGCAGGAGCTCCACAATACTTTTGAGCTAGTATTCTATAAGAGGAACAGGAGCTCAAGCAGTAGAACATTCTGGGTGCCGGTACTCAGCTCCGGTGAGCTCCTGCCCAAGTCAAGCACTGCCCATAGGAGTGCACACTTGCCCCCTTGTTGTAGTAGTTGAAGAGATTTCAAGTGAGACTGATGCTATTGTACTATAAGAGAGAGTAGTATTGTGCATGATGAAGATGCATTATCTGTTTTAGAGTTGGCCAGATAACCACATAGCAAAGTTAGTATTGTTAATTCCAAATTAAATTATTTATTCATGTTGAATATTAAGAGCCATACCTAAAAGTCTACCAAACAAACATACAGCACATGCAGAGGATCCCACAAAGTTAAGCAGAGGGATAATTCAATTTAAAATGAATGTTGTCCCTCACCACTTATCATTCAGTATCAGTAGACTGCTATTCCCTTAAGTGCAAGATCAGTGTGCTCTTACCCAAAAATCCCTGTTGTCCCGATGGCTAACTGGGAAGACCTAACACGTGTCATGCTTCTATGAATGAGTACAAACGTACATTTTAATTAAGAAGCTCTCTATCATATCAATTTTATTAAACCAAGATTGATTTCTAGAACATCACAAACACAAAATAGAAGATTTTGCATACCTTATTTTCTGACTGTGGTGCTCTTCTTCTATTGAGGATTTGTAGTGTATCAATCTTATTTTGTGCTCTACAACTGTCATCCAACAAATCCTTGGCTGCTAAAATCCAGAGCTGGGATCTTGTTAAGTTTGGATATGGGCTCTCACATTTCATATGCACATGTTTCAAAACATAATTTCATGTCAAATATCCAGATATGATATCCCTTGCATATCAGGTTTCTGATGCTCAGGATAAGGACACATATAAAATCATAATACTGTAGTATCAATGTCATGGTTTCATGTTGTAGCTCTAGCACTGTACATGTTTTGTTAGAGACATACGTGATAATGCTCTTGTTTGTGATCTCAACGTGTAATGTAATAGGTATCTAAAACTAGGTTACAGAAATGTCCAGAAATATTATATTCACCTATTAGAGAGAGAGTGAGTGTGTGTGTGGGATAAAACCTTGGACTTGAAATCTTCAACTTTCAGACCTTCAGGCTTTATTCCTTCAACTGTCTGTATGCAATGGCATCAGGAACATCATCTAACAGTCACATTCGCAGGAAGGTTTACAGTAATAAAAAGCTAATCATGGGTCATTTTCTTCAGAATGATAACGTTTACTTGAACAAATATAACAATTTCTACCAAAAAATATTCATACATAGATTTGTTGGATTTGGGTAGGTTATACTCTTTGCTTCATGATTTCCATGCGACAATTGATTCTCCACCACAAGCTATTGAAACATCAACTCTGGTAAAAAAAAAATGGTTTACTTATATTTCTCCACTTTTCAATTCAATGATGGTTGCCAGGAAACAAATAACTATGCAGCAAAGTAAGGAAACGTGAATTTGATAAACTTGGCATTAGTAGGCCTCAGCAGTGATTACAACCATCTCTGTTCAGAAAACAAGTTGGATGGCTAAGTGCAGTATTTCAGTGAGAACAAACTTAGATGTATGACAATAAGAAAATAAACGTTCATAAAGAATCCTCTTCGATCTTTCAACTTTTCTTAGATAGTGATTTTGTTTTTTTGGTATAAGTTCTTTCAGCACTGGCTTTCATAGAGTCAGAGAGAGAGAGGAACTCTCTCTTTGTCTCATCGTGGCGAAGGCGATGGGAGGCCTGGAGCCCTCAAACACTCTCCCAGAATGCAACAGCACAGTGAGACTGAGCTTAGCGCTGTGAACGGCAGGTCCCAAAAATTCAGCCAGGTGTACTCCAGTTGTCCCGGGTGTAGCTCAGCAAGCAGTGACTACTCTAAGCAGGGCGTTGGCTAGAAGGCAGCTCAGCATGGCGACCAGGCTAAGGTAGGAGGCAAAGGCACCGCTGCAGCCCCTCTCTCCCTCGCAGAGCAGCTGCTCACACAGCAGGCCCTTGTACTCCGGCAGACACAGACACTTCTGGTTCTGGAAGCAGGTGCCTCCATTCTGGCACAGCAGCATGTCGTCATCGCAGACGTTGGCTACAAGGGGAGACAGGGAGGAGACGGAGAATAAGGAGGGAGGAAACAAAGTGAGTAGGATCACTGTGGCCCACTGAATGCCTCAAGCCTAGAAACAATACAGGATACTCTGAGAAAAGTTCTGGTTTTGGCAACAGTTACTGTACATTAACAAGACACCTGTTCTGACCTTACCTGTACAGTTCTAATTTTCTCTTGAATTAGTGATTATACAGTAAAGCTTGCCAGATTGTTACACTTCCTTGCGAAGGACTCATAGCGCTCATTGAGCATTGATTACCATTTCATTGGCAAACGACTCAACTTTAGGCTACTCTTCAGAACACTACCCTCCATTTTACTTCCCCTTCATTTTACCACCCCTTCACACGTACACACCCACAGCCACCCCCACAGCCACCCACCCCCACACACAGACACCCCCCGACACACACACAAACACACACCTACACCCCTACTTACGGGAGCAGCCTTGTCTCCAGATGTACCCAGGCAGGCAGTCCTCGCACTTCGGCCCAGTGGAGCCATCCCTACACTGGCAGTACCCTGTCTCGTTGCAGCGGGCGTGGAAGGACCCCAGCTGGTTACAGTTACACTCTGCACAAAGGGATGAACAAGGCATTGCTGTTTCAGTGAGGGTATAAATACAATACAGCACATCTAACTAAGCTCAGTGCTCATCAATCTAGTTGAAACAGCAGTGTCACTAGCCCAGGTCACATATAGTGCATTCGGAAAGTATTCAGATCCCTTGACTTATTTCACATTTTGTTACGTTACAGCCTTATTCTAAAATTGATTAAAAAAAAATAATCCTCATCAATCTACACACAATACCCCATAACGACAAAGTGAAAACAGGTTTTTAGACATTTTTGCAAAGATGTACATACATCAACATAAACAGGTCAGTGGTATTGGTGTTATACTGATGATTCTATGCACGTTTAATGACTTTACATGAAGGAACATTGTAGGTGTTGTTTTACTTTTTTACTCCCTAAGGCGTCTCTCTCAGCCTTAGGAAACCTTGACAGCCTGAGGCATTGCTTTACCATTTCTCTGTAATATCATATTACTTTAGTACATGTCTTGTCCTTTGCCTAAAAACATTAGGCACACTTCACAGCTGTATCTTATAACACTGACACTGGATTCTGTGACAAACTTATTTGGATAAAATGTCATAAACATAGTGTTTATCATTGATAAGAGCTCAGCTGACTTCATTGTTCAAACGTTCAGCTTTTTCTCAAGGTAGGACAGGGTCGTATTCCTTCGCCACCAAACAGAAGGAAATGGACTGAAACTGGGGAACTTGCCAAGTAAGAAACTTCCAGATTTTTGTTTCCATTGCAAAACGTTGCATGTCCAAATGACCACGACCCAGTACTAACAGTACTAACAGTGTTGCTGTTGTGTGTGATAGATCCTCCAGTAGGTGGCAGTGTGTCATTCTTGCTAGGCACTGTTCAGTAATATGTGTAGTGCTATTTGTGTAGTAAAATGTTCCTAGATTGATGAATGACTCTGATGTTACTTTAAAGTAAATATAATCAAGGGTTTATAAAGGGGCTGAAAAGTGTATAAGTTCATAGACTATTTATTATAAGTATATATCAATCAGTAATAAATCATTAAACCTCATTGGTTGGAATTGTGTAATTGTAATTTTCTTGGTTTACAAATAATTTGTTTATAAATACACCTGAATGTTGCATGCTGTTTAAAATTGTTGACAGTTACATTTAATTTAGGCACTGGCTGTATTCTTTAGTTACAGTTATTTTTTCACCTTACCCAATGATAAATTGGGAGTAGAATAGGATGCATGGCATTGGGCTCCACCAAACACAATTCTAATATGGATGTGAAAAGAGCAGTTAAAGTATATTTAACAACTTAACAGTTAACATCTTTAGAAAGGGTACCTTAATGATTGTTACATATGCTGTTTTACAAACATTGTATGCTGATTCATTTAGATCCTGCAGGTGTAATTGTAATTCCTTAGCATTTTAGGCTACTATGGTAACCCTTTCTGAATAAATTATTAGCTAGCTATAATGATTCTCTTTAGCTGTTATAGGGTCAAAGGATTATGCTTTAATCCTCTTGACCTGCAAGGGGTCATACAGGAGACATCACAGATTTTCAGGTGATTAGTAGGGATTGAAGGCTTAACACAATGCTACATCTGTCTTGTCTTGATCAACTTTATCAAACATTTTCCACTGTGCATATCATTGTGTAATGTACATGAAGGAACTGAGGAGAGGTCCTGACCTATACAAACGTTGTCATCGTCCAGCTCGGCAGAGATATTCCGGAAGTATCCCAGTCGACAGTGCTGACAGTTCTGCCCCCTAGTGTTGTGTTTGCAGCTGACACATGTCACGATGTTGATAAAGTCAATATAACTGCAACGGTTCGAGTGGCCATAGCACTCACAGTCTGGCAAGGGGAAAGAGCGGAGTACGGTTAGTGGAGGAGGAGGAGGAGGAGGAGGAGGAGGAGGAGGAGGAGGAATGGTCCTATTCAAACAATTCAAACTCAGAGGTAGCACTCAAAGTTATTTACTCTACACTCTTAGAAAAAACGTTTGCAGAAGGGTTATTCGGCTGCCCCCTTAGGAGAACCCTTTTTGGTTCCAGATAGAACCATTTTTGGTTCCAGGTAGAACCCTTTTGGGTTCCATGTAGAACTCTCTGTAGAAAGGGTTCTACATGCAACCCAAAAGGGTTCTACGTGGAACCAAAAGGGTTCTATCTGCAACCAAAAAAGGTTATTCAAAGGGTTCTTTTTCTCTAAGAGTGTACCACCAAACTGTTTCACTCATCATACAAAAGCCAAATAGGCAAGACATAGCAGGCTCCATAGACCTGAATTATTCTGAGTTCAGAAACCAGTTCCTGACTTTGTGGCCCCATGGGAAATCACTTGACCTCAATAAGTCAAAATCTGCATTATTTAACCAGCTAACGATCCGGCCTCTGAATACTGTACATTGATTTACAGAGGGGTAACATGTAATTAATGGTAGAGCAAATACACCAAATAAGTTGTTTCAATTTTGTTTGCATTACAGTCTTGATCAATTGATTAATTGATTTACAGCTCAAATGGCAAATTGTTTATATGGTGTGATGAGGTGGTGATGAAGGAGTCAGGCGCAGGAGGGTAAATCACAGAATAACAGGCTTTAATCCGCAAAATACAGGTTTACGCAGAAATGCGTCAAACACACTCCAGGGCACAAAACAGGCGCACTGGAAAATACAAGTGGTCCTCTGTAGCTCAGCTGGTAGAGCACGGCGCTTGTAACGCCAAGGTAGTGGGTTCGATCCCTGGGACCACCCATACACAAAAATGTATGCACGCATGACTGTAAGTCGCTTTGGATAAAAGCATCTGCTAAATGGCATATTATTATTATCATTACAAGGCACACGGGAAAAATACTCCCGTCGATACACAATACACGAGCTCCACTGAGCTTCACTAACCTCCACAAACAAACAATCACCCACACAGACAAGGAAGCAGAGGGAACACTTATACCATAACTAATGAGGGAATAAGGACCAGGTGTGTGTGATAGAAGAAAAGACAAATGGAGTGATGATAAATGGATCGGCAGTAGCTAGTAAGCCAGTGACGCCGAACGCCGAAACCTACCCGAACAAGGAGGGGAGGCAGCCTCGGCGGAAGTCGTGACATATGGATGTCATAATGGAGCTTATTATGCTTTAGCAGTTTGTTCCATTAGCTCAGCTGGTAGAGCACGGCGCTTGTAACGCCAAGGTAGTGGGTTCGATCCCCGGGACCACCCATACACAAAAATGTATGCACGCATGACTGTAAGTCGCTTTGGATAAAAGCGTCTGCTAAATGGCATATTATTATTATTTATTATTTATACCACAAGAAGCTGAATAATGCTAATTTACAAGGAGATTTAGATGACAGTTTAGTTGTTTAATCAGGCATCATGTTACATCTCTTTGTTTAGAGGGGATTAATTATTGACACATTATTTTGAAGATGCTGCTGGTGCAATATGAAGACCTACTGTGCCACAGAGCAGAGCAGTGGGACGGGGGGCAAGAACAGCTTATCAAATATGAATGGGCCATTGGCCACTGCCTCACAAATGAATCCACAGTTCAAACAGACACTGATGACATTATACAATCAGTGGAAACACAAACTCTATAGGTTGTGAGATTTCATTAAGTTCACAATAAAAGGTAACAACAGTATTACTAAAATGGAACAGAAATTAGTTGCTTACCTTATGAAGCGAACAGAACACCAAAATGCAACAAAGAAACGCATGGAAACAACAAAAGATGAATGAATGAAGGAAAATAATGGACAAACTGGCCATTTTTTCCACAGTTGTCTTGTCCAAACAGATCTAATGCTTCAGTGTGGGAAATAATTTCTTACCTTGAAACTGGACGTATGCAACCTTAGACTGGCTGTATTTAGACCCACCAGGAATCAACAGTTTGACAACCGCTTGGGAAATAAAGCATCTATTTAACTGAGTTATAGCTAAAACGAACATGCCAATGTGTACACGCCTCTACTACACAGTCGCTAAAATAAAGGGGCCACTAAAATAAAAAAACATATGCCAAAGGAACCCTGAAACACAAGAGGTTACCAACAGCTAATAGTGAGTCACTGTCAGACATCTTGCATGAGTCGAAGATAAAGACAGCATACAATCCATAAATAGTTATCAACCATGTAAATCTACCCATTAACACACAGCATTGTGCATTACAACGTTTAGTAATTAACAAAGTATAGATATTTACTCCTCTACCAGAACAACATCTCATTCCTAATCAGACAATCCATCTCACCAGCAGTAAGAGGCCTTACTTGGGATGTGTTTATTAGGGAACGCAATGGAAAAAGTTTTATAATGTTTTTACAACAGAAAACCAAATGAGCTTCAGTCTGTTTTCTTCCGTTTTAGTGCCTAATGAACACAACCCTGAAGTGATAGTAATCACCGTCCAAAGCTAGTTTTCAATACTGGTTAATCTACAGCTGCTGAGTGGAGTCTGAGTGGTGACAGAGTCACCCGCACAATACTATGTGGCCCATTCTGTAACGCATGGTCCTTGTCAACAACAAAAATACATTAGCTGCGCTAGGTTTCACACACACACAAACAAACCACTCCTAATGCATGTTAGCAGCCTGGTGCTTTGAGTCAATAGACTCATGAAACCATGGATCAGGTATGTTACTGGGACATGGGCTCATCCAAGAAATGTCTCAAGGCTTTTCCGCTCCTATTTTGTCCATCAATTATCTATTTGCACTCTGAACCCCCAGTGGGGATGTTTTCCTATAGCAACCAGGCGACTAACACGTCAACTTCAACCCCATTGCTGAGTCACCGTGAGTGGGTTCAGGTAATTCAAAATGGATGGTTACCGACACCGCTACAAATTTACATGCTAATGATAACAAAGTTAGCATACAGTACAAACACTACTAGACTACCGTTGATCAATATACCTTTTTTTCTCTCTTTCTTATTCTCCTCCTCTTTGCTTTCCCATTTGGCTTCAGTTATGGGGGCAACTGTGTACACCAGAGAGAATGTGAGAGATCAGAAAAAAAGAGCAACTTCAAACTGTTTACTCATTCTTTATTAGTGTCGAATGAACCTTTTAGGTATTGTCCCAACCATTTGATGAAGCCATTAAGGCAACACCTCGTATGAAGGTCATAACACCTTCCTGACAGGACTGCATATTAGCAGATACAGACTGCCTACACAACTGCATAGTAGAGGATAACATTGTTCATTCTAAATGTGGTTCCTTCAATATTTGCAGTGTTACCATAGTTTACTGATAGAATATGCGTAAACTTCTAAATGGAAAAATAAAAGGGTATTGTTGCTATAGCACAATCACCTGAATCAGGAGCTGGATCACCTGAATCGGGAATTGGATCAACTGAATCAGGAGCTGGATCACCTGAATCAGGAACTGGATCAACTGAATCAGGAGCTGGATCAACTGAATCAGGAGCTGGATCACCTGAATCAGAAGCTGGATCAACTGAATCAGGAGCTGGATCACCTGTGTCAGGAGATGGGGTAGCAGGATCTGGATCTGCGGAAGATGAGTCTGGAGCTGTAGTAACTACATCAGGTGCCTGGGTAGTAGCATCAGATGTTGAGGTATCTGTGTCAGGGGATGGAGCAGCTGCATCTGGTGTAGATGTGTCTGGTGCTTGGGCGGTATCTCCACCCAGTGCCCGGGAAAGAGGTTCAGGTGCTGAAGTAACTGTGTCGGGAGGTGGAGGAACTACTCCCGGTATTGAAGTAGATCCATCAGGTGCTGCGGTAAATCCATTTATTAGTGGTGTTACTACATCAGATGCTGGAGTAACTGTGTCCGATGCCAGAAAGGGCACACCTGATGTTGAAGTGAATACAGCAGATGCTGAGGTAACAGTGCCAAAAGTTGTGGTAAATATGTCAGATGTTGGAGTCACTGTGTAAAATGTTGTAGAACTTGTGCCAAATGTAGTATTTGTGTAAAATGTTGTAGCATTTGTGTCAGATTTTGTAGTAGTTCTGCCAAATGTAGTGCTTGTGTCAAATGTAGAACTTGTGTCAGTTGCTGTAGAACTTGTGTCAAATGCCGTACTGGTGTCAGATGTTGTAGTACTGGTGTCAGATGCTGTGGTACTGGTGTCAGATATTGTAGTACTTGTGTCAGGTGATGTGGTACTGGTGTCAGATGATGTGGTACTGGTGTCAGATGATGTGGTACTGGTGTCAGGTGATGTGGTACTGGTGTCAGATGATGTGATACTGGTGTCAGGTAATGTGGTACTGGTGTCAGATGATGTGGTACTGGTGTCAGGTGATGTGGTACTGGTGTCAGAAGTCACTGTGTAAGAAGTTGTCGTTGTGCTGTCTAGTGTTTGAGTAAATCCATCTGATGTTGGAATGGTTGCATCAAATGATGGTATGACTGAGTCAGATGTGGCGTCAGCTGCTTCAGATGATTGAGTAACTGCAATTGTGTACAGAAAAATCATGAGTTGTCAAGATGGCATATTAACCACTTACAGTTGAAGTCAGAAGTTTACATACACCTTAGCCAAATACATTTAAACTCAGTTTTTCACAATTCCTGACATTTAATCCTAGTAAAAATTCCCTGTCTTAGGTCAGTTAGGATCACCACTTTATTTTAAGAATGTGAAATGTCAGAATAATAGTAGAGAGAATTTTTTATTTCAGCTTTTATTTCTTTCATCACATTCCCAGTGGGTCAGAAGTTTACATACACTCAATTAGTATTTGGTAGCATTGCCTTTAAATTGTTTAACTTGGGTCAAACGTTTCAGGTAGCCTTCCACAAGCTTCCCACAATAAGTTGGGTGAATTTTAGCCCATTCCTCCTGACAGAGCTGGTGTAACTGGTCAGATTTGTAGGCCTCCTTCCTCGCACACACTTTTTCAGTTCTGCCCACACATTTTCTATAGGATTGAGGTCAAGGCTTTGTGATGGCCACTCCAATACCTTGACTTTGTTGTCCTTAAGCCATTTTGCCACAACTTTGGAAGTATGCTTGGGGTCATTGTCCATTTGGAAGACCCATTTGCAACCAAGCTATAACTTCCTGACTGATGTCTTGAGATGTTGCTTGAATATATCCACATAATTTTACTTCTTCATGATGCCATCTATTTTGTGAAGTGCACCAGTCCCTTCTGTAGCAAAGCACCTCCATAGCATGATGCTGCCACCCCCGTGCTTCACGGTTGGGATGATGTTCTTCGGCTTGCAAGCTTCCTCCCCCTTTTTTCTCCAAACATAACGATGGTTATTATGGCCAAACAGTTCTATTTTTGGTTCATTAGACCAGAGGATATTCTCCAAAAAGTACGATCTTTGTCCCCATGTGCAGTTGCAAACCGTAGTCTGGCTTTTTTATGGAGGTTTTGGAGCAGTGACTTCTTCCTTGCTGAGCGGCCTTTCAGGTTATGTCGATATAGGACTCGTTTTACTGTGGATATAGATACTTTTTTACCTGTTTCCTCCAGCATCTTCACAAGGTCCTTTGCTGTTGTTCTGGGATTAATTTGCACTTTTCGCACCAAAGTACGTTCATCTCTAGGAGACAGAACGCGTCTCCTTCCTGAGCGGTATGACGGCTGCGTGGTCCCATGGTGTTTATACTTGCATACTATTGTTTGTACAGATGAACGTGGTACTTTCAGGCGTTTGGAAATTGCTCCCAAGGATGAACCAGACTTGTGGAGAATTTTCTTTCTGAGGTCTTGGCTGATTTCATTTGATTTTCCCATGATGTCAAGCAAAGAGGCACTGAGTTTGAAGTTAGGCCTTGAAATACATCCACAGGTACACCTCCAATTGACTCAAATGATGTCAATTAGCAGAAGCTTCTAAAGCCATGTCATCATTTTCTGGAATTTTCTAAGGTGTTTAAAGGCACAGTCAACTTAGTGTATGTAAACTTCTGACCCACTGGAATTGTGATACAGTGAATTATAAGTGAAATAATCTGTCTGTAAACAATTGTTGGAAAAATTACTTGTGTCAGTAGATGTCCTAACCGACTTGCCAAAACTATAGTTTGTTAACAAGAAAATTGTGGAGTGTTTGAAAAACCAGTTTTAATGACTCCAACCTAAGTGTATGTAAACTTTTGACTTCAACTGTATATCTATAATATGTTGATGTTGGCTCGCTGGCATTGTCCTGTGATATTTACAGGATTCAAGTTTCCCCCATTTCAGTCTGTATCAGTAGAAATGGGATACCCCATGCCCTGATATCATCACTTCCATCGCATCTGCCCTGTGGCCCATCCTCAAGGACAGTGTTCTGTGCCTCCATCCTGTTATGGTTTCATGTATCTATCTATCTATCTCCACGGGCTCCATAATTTTGCCTGTTTTGCTCTCCCTTACCACGACCTGTCTTCCCTCGGCTTGTGAAATATTTAGCAGCTCTTCATTCAATTGGTATTCAGAAATAGATAAGAAATGCTTGAGCTTTGGTCCCCAGCACATTAATGCTAGCTCAACCTTGTGCTCCAGAAAGAGATGATGTTACACAATGATAGCGTATTTAATGATTTATCGCCCCTGGCTGCTGACTGTGTCCAGTGGCAGCACTTTCCCTGTACGGTGTGAGGTATAGCACCGGCTGGGCGGGCAGCACACAATACACCGGTGGATATAATCAGACCCTTGCTAAGCAGGAGGAAGGTGGTAAGGGGGCAACAAACAGAATGGTCATTTGATTCAAATGTCAAATGCCACAAAGCACTTTGGGGTCATTTTTATTGCAGGTGATAGGAAATGTCCTGTTGCATTCCTTTTCCTATCAAACATTCCCAAGGGAATCAAAGTAGCTGCATTCATCTGTGTTCTAGAAATCCCTGGGATAAGATCAACATGCTGCCAGTTCCTGAGAAATAGTGAGCCTGCTGGGTATTTAATCTTCCAAACAAGAGAGTAGAAAACACCTGGCCAACTTCTCACCTTCAGTATTTGCAAACTGTCTCTGTCAAAATAGACCCCCAAAAAACAGCATAGAATGATAGATTTACCTTATCAACATTGGTGCTGTCAAAGTATGCATTCCATACTCTCCAAACTCCCCTATTCACTCCCACTGTCACTGTCTCTATATATCTGGGGGTTACAAATGTGGGCTCTGTACAGTGAGTAGAACAACAAGGCTCTGTTCTAATACTCACCCAGGCTCTGGGGGACGCTACTAAGTGTAAGCTAGTAGCTGACACCGGACAGGAAACCCTCAAATGTAAATAGCCTAGCACATGAAGATGTTAACAGGGCAGCATCATGGCCCATATACCGTACCGTGCCTTAAGGACTACTTTAGCCCAGTAATCATGTTTAATCTCTTTACCCCAGTGCAACCTCCGGGGAGATTAAGGCCCTCTATGGCCTCCAGCAGTCGTGATCCACACTGGAAGAGGTTAATGGGGGTAAATAGGGGGTCTACTGGCTTCTTTGAGTTTTCTCTGCCAAACAGTGAGGATTTCTGCTTCTCCTGCCTGTCACTCTTACACATCTGTTTCAAGTAAGGCTTGTTTCGCTATCCTTATAGTCCCAAATGTTTGTAAAATGTACTAAATGATAGGTCACAGAAAGATCTATGTGACTATCGGTATGTCCAAAGTGGATGCATTTCAAGAATAGTCAAAATCTCTAAACAATATCAAAAGACATTTAGAGAAAAAAATATTATTTGAGGTGTCAAAGCTCATGTAGTGTAAGGGTAAGAGGTCAGAGGTCAGGGATTCTTCCGGTGTATCTGGGTACTTACCTTTCGGCTGCGCTTCCACTGTGGTTGTGGGGGGCATTACCTCCAGGGGGGGCGAGGTCACTGTGTTTAAGGATGGACTATCTGTCTGGTCGGGCCAGGCAGAGACTGGTACAGTGGCTGGTATAGTTGAGGTTTGGTCAGTTGCCACAAGCAGCACTTGAGGAAGCAATTGGAGAGCATTTACTGAGCCAGTAATGAGGTAGTTAGATTGAGAGGTTTATTGTGTTTTCATAAGGCAGTTATTCTTTCATTAACTTCAACAGCTACACACCAATGCTCTCCCGATGTTGTCTAGCATCATATTACAACTGCAATCCTAGTGTGTGCCTAGTAAGACTAAAAGTACCCCAACTAAAATACTTTGAATTCATATACAGTTTGAGTTGATCATACTCTATACTACTACTACTACTACTACTACTACTACTACTACTACTACTACTACTACTACTACTACTACTACTACTACTACTACTACTACTACTATTACTACTACTACAACTACTACTACTACTACTACTGTACAACTAGGGTACCTACTAATGCCTAGAGCCTTGTGTTCATCTCACTAGTTTCCCACCTGGTGTGTCAGTGAGGGAGTCACTGAGCTGCGTGCTGGATGCGCTGGATGTGGGACCCACCACAGCTGTCACTGTGTCAGTGAAGCTGGTGGTGTCTATTTGGCACAGAAATGATGGGGGTCATATAGTGTCTCGTAAGGGTCTGACATTTTGAAGTATTCTAACAATGAATGCTATGCTTCTAACTAAAGGTACATTGGCTGAGAGACAGAAATACAGGCACACACAAATGAATGCACGCACACATAAACACACAAACACACACACACACACGTGCACGCATGCAAACATGCCAACACATACACACACACACACATAATATTGGTTTCTTTGCGCTTGGCCTATAACCAAATCATGTTTTCATTATCCTGTATGTCCAATATTTCAATCATACTAATATTATGCATCAACGTCAACATGGTTCAGGTGTAGCACTAAGCGTGGAGTCTCCCTATAGCGTAATCAGGCGTGGCACAGAGGAGTGACTCGCCCTCCTCCTGTAGATGGGTGAATTGGGATTCAGTGGGGCGCACTCGGAACAGTGGGAGCATTCCTGCTGTCTGGCATGCTGATGTTTTATTAAAGCAACATCCCTCCCTGGTGGTTGATCATTAGCACATGGCCAAAGGGACACACTCTCAATTCAATCTTTACTTAAAAAGAGGCCTAATTATCAGCCGGGACAAGTTTTTACATGCTGGGCACCAGGCACAAGCGCATATCATTAAGGAAATGCTTGTGCATGTACTTTGGGACAACTGCTGGAGCATATCTTAGTGGCATCAATGTGGGGAATTAAATTCTGTTCTGTATTTACATATCTGAATACTATGTGCCAGAAGTAACATCATGGCTTCGTTAGGGTGGGGTATTAGTGACAAATGGCCGTGCTGAAACCACATGTCTGCTGGAGGTGAATTTACCTGTGGTAAACTATCTGGGCTACATGGGACCCACACGTATGTAGAGCAGAGGTAGGCACTGAGGCAAGTCACAATTCACATGTACTGCAGCTGTGGGGTTCCATGAAGGTTGGGAGATTGGGACAGCTTTCCCCTAACCCCTCCCCTCTCCCCCCACTTACCATCTGCCACAATGACCAACCAGTTTAGAGAATAATCTTTACCAGAGAAGATATGTTCCCTGAATGATATCCCTAGATCATATATCACTCTCAGCCTCTTGATGGTGGAGTTACACTGATGTGTCTGTGTGTATATGTGTGTGTTTGTGTGTGTGTGTGTGTGTGTGTGTGTGTGTGTGTGTGTGTGTGTGTGTGTGTGTGTGTGTGTGTGTGTGTGTTCTGTGTGTGTGTGTGTTTGAAGGTGATGTAAACAAACTCTACTACAATGTGCCAGTGCTTGGATTTGTCATCGGTCATCCATAAATGCAATGAATTTCACCTCGTACATATGGTATAGTAAATTCTATCACAACTGTATTGTGAATGCTTTATAGTATTAATGTCTAAAAAGATTGCCCTTGGTGGGAATCTATTGTACAGTATGCGCTATTTCTGGTGAGAATGGAGGGATATAAATATGAATCACTCATCCCTCCATCATTCCAACCTTTCTCCCTCCTCCCTCCCAGAGACAGGGAAAGGTTCTGTCACCGCAAGGAATCTCACCTTGGAGAACCATGCCGCTGTGATACAGGGATCATGTGTGAAATGAATATGAAATAGAATGATACAGCCATCCTCTGTTATAATCAATCTTTAATCACCTATAATCTTATGGTAGTGACTGACTACAAACCTGGAATTGATAGGAACCCCACCAAGACCTGTATTCATAAAGCGTCTCAGAGCAGGACTGCTGATCTAGGATCAAGAACTCCCCTGTTCATAATCATATTCATTATTTCTTAAAAGTCTAAGCCGTTGGGGGTGGTCATACTATGGATCATTTAGCTATTTGGCTATGTAGGTATCTACTCACTACTTAAAGGAAAGGCGCTGGATTGGGCCACGGCAGTCTGGGATGGAGAGGAGGGAGTGGCACTACCCTACCCCACCTTCCTCGCTCGGTTCAGGGCGGTGTTTGATCATCCAATGGAGGGAAAGGACGGGGGTGAGTGTCTCCTCCATCTACAACAGAGAGAGGGGCCCGCGTCCGAGTACGCTCTGAGCTTTCGCACGGTGGCGGCATCTTCCAGCTGGAATGAGCGTGCTCTGTGCACGGCCATCAGGAGAGGCTTACGGGAGGACATCAAGATGGAATGTCGGGACGACGAGATGGACCTTGATACCCTCATCACCACGTCCATCGGTCTTGATGACATGATGAGAGAGAGATGGCGTTTCCCAACACCTCCCGGAGCCTCGACGTTCACCCCATCTGAGCTATGGAAGCCGCCCTGCTTCCGAGTCATCACCCATGGAGGTGGGCAGCACCTCCTACACCACCACGGACCACAGATCTCCTGGCGGCTCCCTATCTAGGCGGTATGACTCCCGTCGCCGCTCTGTGAGTGCTACGTCAGCTCCTATCACAAAACCATTGTTTTTAGTTCCCATAACGATGACTGGTTATTCCTTCTCTTCCATTTCTACTGCTAAGATAGATTCCGGATCAGCGGGGAACCTTATAGATAGGGAGCTGGTCTCTGAATGGGGGTTGCCCACTGTGCCACTGCCATTTCCGCTACATGTCACCTCACTGGACAATAAACCCCTTGGACCAGGCACCATTACGCACGTCACTCTCCCCATCATCATCACCAATCCCACACTACCGGAGCACCACGATGAGCTGTCATTCCACATCGTCACGTCACCCCTTCACCGGATCATCTACCTCATGCCAGAAGACCTGCCTGGGGATCGTGCCTGCCGGTGGTTTGTTGTTCCACGTCAGTGGAGAGTCAGGAGTCCGCCCTCCAGCCCAACATTCCACGTGAGTATCCAGATCTCTCTGATGTCTTGTCTTCATTAAAGGCTACGTGTCTCCCTCCTCACAGGCCCTGGGACTGCGCCATTGACCTGCTGGAGGGACAACACCCCCCGAAGAGTCGCATTTACCCCCTTTCCATGGTGGAGACTGAGACCATGGAGAAGTATGTGGTGGAGACCCTGAAACAGGGGTTCATCAGACGCTCTACCTCTCCTGCCTCCGCCAGCTTCTTCTTCATGGCCAAAAAAGACGGAGGACTGAGACCATGCATTGACTACAGGGGGCTGAACGCAGTCACCACCAAGTACCGGTACCCCCTCCCTCTGGTTCCGTTGGCCATCAAGCAGCTACGAGGGACCCGATGCATTACCAAGTTGGATCTGAGGAGTGCCTACAACCTGATCCGAATCCGGGAAGGAGACGAGTGGAAGACGGCATTTAGCACTACCTCAGGCCACTATGAATACTGTGTCATGCCCTACGGCCTCGCCAACGCACCTTCTGTGTTCCAGTCCTTCGTCAATGACTTGTTCCAGGACATGCTGAGTAGACAGGTGGTGGTGTACATCGACAATATCCTGATCTACTCGGCTACGTTCGAGGAGCACATCAGGGACGTCCGAGCTGTCCTACTCCGCCTCCGGGAACAAGGGGGAGAAATGCGAATTCCACCAACAGGCCATCTCCTTCCTGGGATACCAGATCAGTCCTCAGGGGGTGTTCATGGAAGGAGTGAAGACGGACGCCATCAGGTCATGGCCAGTTCCCACCACCATGAAAGGCCTACAGAGCTTCCTGGCCTTCGCTAATTTCTACCGGCGTTTCATCAGGTCCTTCAGCTCCATAGCCACCCCGCTCACCTCTCTCCTTAACCCTCCCGTTGTCCTAGGGTCAAAATGACCCGCCACTGTGTTGAACCAACTTTATTTCATTTTTGTATTTTTTTGATAATTTGTGAGAAGGAGGCAGTGATACTTTCTTTAAAGTCGCACTGCCTCCTTCTCACAAATGATCCCCCAAAAATAAAAAATAAATAAAGTTGGTTCAACACAGTGGCGGGTCATTTTGACCCTAGGACAACGGGAGGGTTAAGGGTGGGCCTCAGAAGCTGGCCTGGAACTCTGATGCTGACACTGCCTTCAAGAGGCTGAAGGAGAGGTTCACAACAGCGCCCATCCTAAAACACCCAGATCCATCTCGTCCTTTCATCCTGGAGGTGGGTGCGGTCCTCTCCCAGCGGCACGGTAAGCCTGAGAAAATATATCCCTGTGCCTTTTTCTCTAAAAAACGTACCCCCGCAGAGAGGAACTATGGAGTTGGAGACAGGGAGCTGTTGGCGGTGGTCCTCACTCTGAAGGAATGGAGACACTGGCTGGAGGGCGCAGTCCATCCATTCTGGATTCTTACTGACCACCGGAATTTGGAGCACATATGGGCAGTGAAACGGATGAACTCTCGTCAAGCGAGGTGGGCCCAATTCCTCACTCGCTTCCAATTCATTCTGTCCTACCGCCCAGGATCCCAGAATGTGAAGGCCGACGCACTCTCCAGGATGCACCATACCGGAGAAAGGAAGGATCTGGGGGATCCTATCCTGCCCTCGTCTCTCATCATTGCACCTGTCGTTTGGGATGTGGACGAAGACATCCGCCTGGCGGCTCAGGAGGACCCAACGC